GCTCGCCAGAGCGAATGTAGGCGCGAAGCAACGGGATGGCGTCTTGATGCGAACATGCCGTTCAACTACTTGAACGTGTCAACCCCCAACACGATGTCGACAGCCTGTTTCTTCCGTGCTGACAAAGCCCAGACCATTGGCAGGTCGTCCTTGGGGGCGCCCAGATGCAGTATAGCAATCAGCATGTTCTTGGCCGCCTTCCGCGGGATGTCCAAGTACTCCACCAACACGGCACGGCACGCCTGGTAATGACAGACAAACGCGTGCAGTACGTCGAAGTCAGCCTGCGCAACTTCCCCGATACACTCGAGGAGATCTTCCCGGAGCAGTGTCGGGAAGCAGTCGACAATGTCAACGTCCACGTGGACGAAGCCACCGCCCACCGAAGCCGCAGGGTCATGCTGAAACGCCGCCCTGCGAGCAGCTCGTAGCAGCTGCGGGGAGCTCGGGCAATGTGCGTACCACCGCCCAGGAATGCCATGCCTTCGGTGATATACAACTTGTATCGTCACGTAATCACCAAGCCGACTGCCCTGTGATTCGATGAGCTCGCAGAAGCGCTGCGCTACATCAACCTCGCGGTCGGTGCCCTGGCCAAAGAAAACCTAATTTTTTTTCTTTCAGCAAAAAAAGAAAAACAACTTCCCATCAAAAAACCACTCGGGGCCTCGATCTTGTTGATTGTTTTGCCTGGGGGCTCTGATGTTCATGCTACCTTTGGGTTTTGACAGATTTCAATGTTTTTGTTGGTTGTCGGCGCCCTCGCCCCCCCAGCGCCGCCTCAACCTGATCCCCACAGAGGGGCGCGAGGACGAATACCAGGAAAACGAAAACTACGGACAGAGAGAACGAGAGAGGAGAGAGAGAGAGAGAGAGAGAGAGAGAAAACAAAAAAAAAGAGAGAGAGAGAGAGAGAGAGAGAGAGAGGGGGAGGGAGGGAGGGAGGGAGATTGAGAGAATACCCCAAATCACATTAAAAAAGGCAAGTGAAATGATACAAACGATGCGCCCTACGGGAGGATCCCAGGGGGGGGTCCCGACTCTCGGGGGGGTCCCCCCTCGGATACGCGGCCCCCCGCCACTCATCCTCCTGCGTCCTGGGGCTCCGTTGGCCCTCCGGGGCCGTCTGCGGGCCTTGTCTCATATCTGAAGGTTCCTTGGAGACCTTTCGCCATTTTTAGACTCTCTTGCCAGCCTCTGGCGGCACTCTTGACAGCCTCTGCGGGCGCTGTTGGACCTCGCTTGACGCCGTCTTGGAACCCTCTCGGGCGACTGAAGGCGCTCTTTGCCTATCTTGGCACTCTCTGGAGCCGTTCCCGAACCCTGGAGGAGGCCTCTTGAGCTGTCTTCGGACAACCTTGCAGGCATCTGGCGCCGTCTTCGAGCCATCTGAGGGCATCTTGGACTCCTCCACCTCCATTGTCTTCGTCGTCGCTGCCTACAGGGTCGGCGGCATCGGCCGTGAGGCCTTCGCAATAAAAGCATAGCCAAAACAGACAACCATAACAGAAAACCAAACATATCCACTAAAACAAAAAGGGCAGAACAACTGTCATCACCAAAAACCAAAACAGAACAACAGAAAGGGCACGAGCAGTCGCCGCCAGGCTATTCTAGAAACTCTTCTTGCGGTCTCAGCGGCGCGAAAGCCTTCGGGTGCTCGCCGCGGCAGCACGCGAGCGCTTGGCGCGCTCGGCGCGGCGCACCTTCTCGCCCGGACGCCTCGCCGCTGCGTGCACGGCGGGCTCCTCCTGCTCCTGCTCCTCCTCCTCCTCCTCCTCCTCCTCCTGCTCCTCCTCCTCCTCCTCCTCCTCCTCCTCCTGTTCCTACTCCTGTGCGCTGTTGCGCCGCTGGCTGTCGAGATCCTCCTGGCCGATCTGCCCTCTCGGCGGGCCGCGGCTGGCGCCGCTCCCAGGCGGCCGTGCCCGCGGCCTCCCGCCACGCCCCCGGCGGCGCTGCTCGGCGCGGCGCTTGGCCGCTCGGCCGATGGTGGCGCTGCTCGGCCGACGGTGGCGCCCGGCACGGCCGTCGGCTCTCACGGGCGAGCCGCCTCGAAGAGGTGGTCGCGCACGATCTCGGGCCGTGCCCCCCCCCCTTTCCAAGCGAGGGGGCAGGGATGGGGGGAGGGGTGGGGGGGGGAGAGGGCGAAGGGAGCGGAGGGCCAGGGGAGGAAGGCGAAGGGAGGAGGACAAGGGGGGGACGGGGGCACGGCGGAGGGAAGGGGAAGCCGAGGGCACGGGAGGGGAGGGCGGGGGGGAAGGAAAGGGGAGGACGAGGGGAGGGGAGGACGAGGGAGGGGATGGGGAGGACGAGGGGAGGGGAGCGCGGAGGTAGTCAGTCGTCCCCAGGAGCGACGCCGTTCGTCTTCCTGGGAGGCCAGCAGGCAGTGCGAGGCAAGGCCAGGGGCTCCGTATGGGGAGCCAAGCCCTGGATGGCATGGGCATGCTTCAAGGCGCCGGTGCGGGTCGTTTTCATGTCCCTCCCCACCCTCCTCGCCCTCCCTCCTAGTGCACCCTTGCCAGCCGCTCGTCCTCCTGTTCCTCCTCCTCCTCCTCATCCTCGTGCTCCTCCTCCTCCTCCCTCCTCCCTCCTTCTCCTGTTCCGTCGTCTCCTCCCCCTCCTTTGTCTTTCTCGTCCTCATCCTTTATCTCCTCCTCCTCCTCCTCGTCCACCTGCTTGACCTGATGATTGCTTCTTGGCATCGCTACCCCCTCCTCAAGCGTCCCCGATTCCCGTGGGGTTTGGAGGTGTCTCGAGCGGGACACCGAAAGACTGCCCCACGAATCGACATCTACTGGTGTGGTTAGTCTTTCTCGCATGTTCGGCGGCGGGCGAGGGGTGGAAGTGAGAAGAAGAAGGCCTTCTCAGAAGGTGGCGGGACTTCTCAGAATCCCTCGCGCATTCTGAGAAGGTTTCTGCGTCTTCATGCAAGGCTTAGAAAACTTCTGAGAAGGCCAGGGAACTCCCGAGCCGTCTGAGACGGTCCGCCCCTTCTCAGTTCCCCCCCGAGTTCGCCGCCGATACGTGTTCCTTGAAATACCCGCCTCGTTATCCTCCCCCTTCTCCCATCTCCCACCACTCTTCTTCCATGCCCTCTGGCCGAGGAAGCGTGGAACGCGGCCGTCTGCCCTGAGCAACCAACCCTGGCGGAAAGCGGTTCTATGCGAAGCGGAGGATGCTTCTCAAACGAGACCCACGGCTGCTGCGCGTCCATCACCTCCGAATTATGAGAACGACTGTTGAGCAGGGACCGACCGTCCCGGCACTCCTATAGTCCTACCACGAAATGTTCTTAGAACCCAGAAATGTTCCAAGAACGAAAGCAATATTCTTAGAACAGTAATGACCCGACGTGTTAAAACAAGACAGTCTCAGCCAGAAATGTTCTAAGAACGTTTCGTGCAGACCACGAAAGGTTATTACAACATTCTTTGGTGGGCCTATAGGCGAGCCAGGACGTGTCGCCGATGCTCCAGACTGTCATTCCTCCTGGTCCTCCTCCTGTTCGATCGAGTCCGAGAGCGCGAGAGGGGCGAGGTGCTGCGTGTGGCCGACCCCCCGAGCCCTCGGTCCAGCCATGTGGCCCTGCGCCTTCGGAGCCTCTGAGGCGGATTTTATGTTTGAGTATTCCTCCTGTAGAGGGACCGGCCCGATTTAGTCCTAGTCCCCCCAGGACTCGCCTTTCGTGATGCAGGCCAGTCCACATCAGAGTGATGGGGCCGGCTGGTCCTGCGCCGTACGCACATTCCTGAGTGCCTGGCTTACGTTGGGCTCCACGGTGCGGGCTGGCAACAGACATGGTTGATCCCCCCTCTGTCTGGTGCCCCCCTTGCTTCCCCGGACTTGCAGTGCGCCTCTCGGCGCTCGCACCCTTTTCCAGGGGGGGGCATCTTGGGGCTCCACTGGTGCCCGTTCTCCCCAGCTGCAACAAGGTCAGCGGCTCCCGCCTGACCTCCCCCGAGGACCCGCGCTGTCGCGAATGGCGGCGGCGCGCCAGGGAGGGAAGTGAGAGGGGGCAGGCATGATCAGAAGGCGGCGCAGCATCTCTCGGACGCCCTCGCGCCCTTCGCGAGGTGCTCTGCGTCGCAAAAGAAGGCTCAGAGAAGCTTCTCAGAAGGCCCGAGGCATTCCGAGCCTGATGAGAAGGCCCGTCCCTTCTGCACTCCCCTGGAGCTCGCCGCCGACAACGACCTCGTCATAGTTTACTCAGGCATCGCGCGCTCGCCTGAGACGCCCCAGAAAATTCTCAAGGAGCCGCGCTCCCGCCGCTCCGGCGCTGCGCTCTCGTCCGAGCCTCTGAGTCTAGCGTCGTGAGTTCGCCCTGGCGTTCAGCTTGCTCCAGTGACAGCTCTCTCGCCTTTCAAGACTCGACTTCTCGCTTGAGATCTGCTCATCTCGCCCACCCGCTTCAATGTCCCGCCCGCTCGTTTTGTTTAGTAAGGTTTGTTTCTTCGTTTGTTAGGGTCCGCCCAACTCGCTCGCGTGCCCGTCCGCCTGTCAGTGTCCGCCCGCCCGACCCGACCACTTGACCGGGGCTTGAGCATTCCTTCTTCCTCCTCCTCCTCCTCCGCCGTTTTCTTTCCCCAACGTCCTCCCCCTCTGCTCCTCTGCTCCTCCCCCTCCTCCTCCTCGCCCTTGTCCTCCTCCTCCTCCTCCTCCTCCTCATCCTCCTCTTCCTCCTCCACCTCCTCGCCCTCGTCGTCCTCCTCCTCCTCCTCCTCCTCCTCCTCCTCCTCCTCCTCATTCTCCTCCTCCTCCTCCTCCTCCTCCTCGTCTTCCTCCGCCTCTTCCTCCTCCACATCCTCGCCCTCGTCCTCCTCCTCCTCCTCCTCTTCCTCCACCTCCTCCTCTTCTTCCTCCTTACCATCGTCATCGTCCCCAACTTCCTCCTCCGCCTCCCGACGATGCAGCGTCTGGCCTGCGCGCGGCACCACCGCCCTAGGAAAAACAGCCACAGGTTCCAGCAGCGCGCTCGCTCGTCGGGCCGTACCGCTGGCGGGTTATGCGGAGCCGGAGGGGTCGACCGATATCCACGGCTGCTCCGCGTCGAAGGAGGCGTTGGAGCCCAGCATGCTGGCGGGCGGGCGCAGCCGTCGGGCGTTTACTTGCTAGAACCCAGCCCTCGACAAGGTCACATAGCCACTGAAGCAGTTACCCACACATAGTTTGAGCATGGGGTATACTGCATCTAGAACGCGGGGCGAGCATATACGAATTGCCGACAAGGCTTAGGTCGGGCATGCCCTCCTACACACGGATTTTCTGGGACAATTCAAACATGATAAACATGTGAAAGAACACAAGCACCGTCAAACAATCGTCCGCGGGCTATTTTATGACTATTTTGGAATCTTCCTCCTGTAGGGGGGCGTGCCCGACTTGAGCCAAGGTCTTTATATGTGGACTCGGCGAGGGCGCTTGTCGGTCGAGCGCCCGAGGGGCAGTCGACGGCGAGCTGCGCACTGCCAGAGGCAAGGGAAAACGAGAGGAGGAGAGGAGGAGAGGAGGAGGTAGAGGAGGAGGAGGAGGAGGAGGAGGAGGAGGAGGAGGAGGAGGAGGGAGAATGAGGAGGATGAGGAGGATGAGGAGGACGAGGACGACGAGGAGGAGGAGGAGGAGAGGAGGGAGGAGGAGGGAGGAGAGGAGGAGGAGGAGGAGGAGGAGGAGGAGGAGGAGGAGGAGGAGGAGGAGGAGGAGGAGGAGGAGGAGGAGGAGGAGGAGGAGGAGGAGGAGGAAGAGGAGGGGAGGAGAGGAGGAGGGAGGAGGAGGAGGAGGAGAAGGAAGAGGAGGAGGAGGAGGAGGAGGGAGGAGGAGGAGGAGGAGGAGGAGGAGGCGGCCGCGGAGCGGGGGAGCGGGCGGGCGGGGAGGGGGGCGGGCGAAACCTCAGACTGTGAACGTTTTCTTCGGCGTGCAGCTGCGGCCCAGGCTGGCTCGCATCGGTGAAGGAGGGACGCAAGATTAGGTCGGGCGTGTCCCCCTGCAGGGGGTTTTGAACGAAAAGCTATAAATGGTCAAAGATATTCAGAAACGATCAAGAATAGTCATAACATCGTCCCAGAACTATGTTTGGCTATTTCTGAATATTCCTCCTGTAGAGGGACAGTGCCCGACTTAAACGTAAGATCGGAAGGAGTCGGACGCATGCTATCATGAACTACGGATGCGTGGGTCTGGCGCGCGGGCGCCGAGTCCTCGGATCGGGGAGGGTAACCCGGCGGCGGGAGGAGGGAGGAGGGAGGAGGGGAAACACAAAACCAGTGCTGCCTGACTGGACGACGGGGGGGGCCCTCTCGTCGCCACGGGCTTGCTCCGCCGATCGTGCTCCGGGAGAAGCTGGGAGGATGAGGACGCGGCAGCGGGATAATGGGGGAGGGCGACGAGCAGGGGCAGCAGGGGCGAGGATAGAGAAACTCGTCGCCACGGCTTTCTCCGCCTCAAGGCCCTGGTCGGATCGTGCTCCAGGAAAGTGTTGGGAGGAGGGTAAGGCAGCGGGAAATGGAGGAGGGAGACGAGCAGGGGCAGCAGGGGCGAGGATAGAGAAAGAGAGAGAGAGAGAGAGATAGAGACATGTAGGCGAGGGGGCTGGAGGCTCGAGGCGATTTCGAGGGCTCAGGCAACCTGCACCACCGAAGGGTGGATGTTTATTCTACGGATTGCATTGGTTGTTGATCTGACCTCCAGTGCTTTTGTTTTTGCAGCAACACCAACCTGAAACAATGCATGTCGGCCAGGCCGCGTGGTATGGTAGGCCTCACGCATACCTTCCATGGGGATGCCACCTCAGCTCGCGTGGACATGAGACAGTCTAGCCTTACATGGACGATCGAATGCAGTCTTCGCTGGCATACACCAGCGCGCGACCTCTGCAAGGCACGCCATTCGATGCTAACAGACGCTGGGCCAATCCCGGAGGCGACCCGCGGCAACTCTCCGAAAAGAACTGGCGCTCGGAGGCTCATGATCCGATCGACGTCGGGCGGCGGTGGCGCGCTGGCATCTCCAACAGGAGTGGCGCGAACACCACTCGGGATCAAACGAAAGCTTCGTCTTTGCCTCTGGCTGTTGGCGTACTGTCCAGAGTGTTGGGTCTGCTCCAGCGGAAGGGAGGCGAGCTGCTGGAACCACAACCACAAACACACACACACACACGCACACACACATTCTCTCTCTCTCTCTCTCTCACACACACACGCACGCACGCACGCACGCACGCACGCACGCACGCACGCACGCACGCACACACACACACACACACACACACACACACACACACACACACGCGCGCGCACACACACAAACAAATTACGCGCCACTTGGACGACCCGCTCAAGCGAACTGCCTTCATGGAGGAGTCCGCCGCCTTGCCCCCGAGGTACGCTCTGAAGCCACTAGATGGCTCCCGAAACCCACAAGATGCCCTCGATTGGCCACCAGGAAACCCATGGAGGCCCCAAGAACACACATAGGCAGTCGCCTGGGCCTTCAAGAAGTCCCCCGGAAGCCCCGCACAGAGGCGGAGGACGAGGAAGACGAATCAACACTAGCTACACGCAGACAACACGACGGGAACAAAACACGCAACGCATACGGAAACGGAATCCGCACATCTCACTTCTGGGACTAGTCGGACTGGCGTAAGCCTATACTCTTGAATCGAATCGGGCAGGCCGCGCCAAGATGCACAGCAAAGCTACGTGACGCCGCGGACCGTCGGAAAATCATAATCGGCTCGGATGAAGCGAACCCGATGTCGAATCGGATCGGTCGGATCGAAGTGCACCGTGGAATGGGAAGAGACCAGCGCACGGCTTCAGGGGTGTGTTCGTGAAAACGCAGGAGGGGGGAGGCACGGGAAGAAGGAGGGGGCGGGGCGGACCCGAGCTTTCGATGGATGTCCCACCTCCTTTTGCAAGGTGGGCAACTCGGGTGCTCGCCATCCTGGGGGAGGGGGCATAGATGTGGGGGGGAGAAGCGTGCGATGACCGTGCACCTTTCGGGCCCGCTGAAAGCTCGGGCCGCTCTGCCTGCAGGCTTCGATCCCCCCTCGTTCCTTGCCCGTCCGAGCCTCTGGAGCCGTCGGCGCTAGCTTCCAGGGGCTGGCTCTCCCGTCGCGGGCAGCCCGCGCGTGTGTGTGTGTGTGTGTGTGTGTGCGCGCGTGCGTGCGTGCGTGCGTGCGTGCGTGCGTGCGTGCGTGCGTGCGTGTGTGTGTGTAGGTTGGCGACCGAAGAGTCGAACCTATTAGATCTCCCATAGGCAAAGGAAGGCCAGGGAGAAGGTCGCGAGCCCCTTCCCCATGCGCCGCGGACAGGCGGTGCTGCACCTAATACACCAGTACCTGAGCCAAGACGTCGGCAGTAGATCAGGATAGACTGGTGACAGGAGCGGACCTCACACACAGCGCGTCTGCTGCCCAGGGGCCGAGAACACAAGGGACGGCACACAGCACACAGCACCTATATGCACTCTCGGAGGTCCGCGCGAGCTTCCCAGAGATCGGCGCTGGGCCCCTCTGCAGCGCGCGCGGAGCGCGCCACGGGGCGGCGGCGGAGGCGCCACCAAAGGGGGCCCACCGCCAGTCCAGGAGATCCGCCCAGACCTCCAAGAGTTCATGCTCGCGCTGACTTCTCGGACTCGACAAGGCCGAGCGAGGGTCTGAGATCGACCAACAGGAATACCCCGTCACGAGTTGTCTCCGGAAGTTGATGCTCACGCGGATATTTCTGTTTCGAACACGCCCGCCAGGGGTGTGAAGTCGACAGACAAGAGCTCCTCGCTGTGATCTGCCTCCGGAAATGTACGCTCACATTGCTTTCTCTGATTCGAAAATGTCCACCCGGCGTGCGAAATCGACCAAGCATCGGTACGATCGAAATTTGCACGGAAAGAATCGGTACGACACCGTTTTTGAACAGGGCTCGCTGTGAGTCCCGCCGCGGGCGTTGTCTGTTTGAGACTCAAAGGCCGCCTGCCCAAACGCGGCCGCTGTCGCTCTCAGAATCAACACTTGTTGTTGGTCACCGTGCCCACTTTTCTCGTGCCCCGCTCGGGCGTGCTCAAACATGAGCACCACGTCGTGAGGCCATGACGCCTGGGTCCCCATCCTCGAGGCAGGCCCCCTGGCCAGCTCGTGGGGGCGTGCTGGCCGGAGCGTCGCCGTGGCGACTCCAGCCGTGGCGACTGGAGCGCTTCGGGAAGCCCAAACCCCATTGTATGCAGGTTTCTGGTCGGTCGCGATCGGTAGCGAGAGACTGGCACCCCACATCGGTCGCGACCGATCGGTCGCAGCCCATGTTGACGGAAACCGATCGCGACCGATACGGGCAGCTGAAGCGAAACTGGTAATCAGCGATCGATCTCGGCCGCGACCAAAAATTTAGGGCATCCAATGATCAGAGAACGGAGTGAGGAGAAGTGCCGACAATCTTCCAGGAACCTCCTGCTCCTCCTTCCCTTCCCCCCCTTCCTTCCCGTCTTTTCCTTCCTTCCTTCCTCCCTCCGTGGATGGTGGCCCCCACATCCTCCGATAAGATCTGCTTTTCGATGAACAGCCCCAAAGCTCCCGACCCCTGCCTCGCAGGCACTTTTTCGTCCCGGATCCGTCTTTGGTGGCCTCGGGCCAGGGATGCCGTAATGAAGGAAAAACGTAGCCTTAGGTCAGGCATGTCCCCCTACAGGCGGACCTTGGACGACAAATTACAAAACACCCCCCAAAATGCTCAATATATATATATATATGATATACTGAAACATAATCCGAACATCGTCCCCTGACTATTTCTTAACTGTTCTTGAGTACTCCTCCTGTAGCGGGACAGGCCCGACTTGAACGTGGCGATGGTGACACGTCGGCCGGAGCGACGTGCTGTAGGGTCGAGCTGCAGGGTCGAGCCGCGCTGGTCGGGAGCGGCCAAGAGGGGGGTGTCCAAGAGAGGGGGGGTGCAAATCATGACCGGCGGCATGTGCGCGGCCCAGCGGGGGGGCCAGGGACGTAATGAAACAAGAAGAGGCGCCATGAAATCTGGGGAAATATCGTGCCCCCCCCCCATGATATCCCCCCCCCCCTAGTCATCACCCCCCTCTTTGCCGCCCCCGAGCTGGGTTCGCCTCGCCTTCCCCCCCCCCCGGGCTGGACACCGCCTCCGTGGGTGCTCTCCCCGCTCGGCAGGGCGCAGACCCGGGAGCACCGACCAGGGCGACGGGGCCGGGGAGCACCGACGGGGCATGCCCAGCAAAAAACGAAAAACGAAAAACGAAACAAAAAACGAAAAACTAAACGAACAACGAAACATAAAACAAACATGCCCAGCAAACAAAACGAAACAAAAAACGAAGCATAAATACAAACGAAACATAAAACAGGGGGATTATTTAAACGAAAAGAGAAACATACCCAGCACAAGTATCCAAGCAATGCTCAAACAATGGTCCCCGGATTTTGGTTTGACCATTTGTTTCGAATATTCCTCTTGTAGGGGGACAGGCCCGACTTAAGACTAGGGCGACGGGGCCTGCACATACTCCGAGCTTCGTAATATAAGCGTCGGGGGGGCGTCACCCCCGCCGACAGCCCCACACCGACCCCCGTCGTGGGCAGCCACCGCGCGCCAGAGGCGCTCAGACCCCCGTCGCGGCGCGCCGACGAGGCGAGGTTGACCCCCGTCGGGGGGGGTGGTACCCCCCCACGCTTGTTCAGAAACTCAGAGTACCCACCACTCCTGGCCGGGCCCGTCCCGGGCCCAGAAGCGCCGCAGTGTGCCCTCTGGCCGAGCCAAGGGGGGCGGGCAGCATGTGCATCCATGCCCACTGCGCCTCGGGTTTCTGTGGGGGGGGGGGGGGGGGCAGCGGGGGGCGAAACTTCAAGATGCAGTCGACATGCACACAAAGCCTGCCCGCACGGGGGGGGATGAGTCCAGGCGCCGCGCCCGAGCCCAGGGTGCGCCCGTCCGGGGGCGGTGGATCTGTGCAGATCAAGCCCCGCCGCCCTGCACTGCACGACGGGGCGGGGAGCCCGTGGCGCAGCCGGCCTGAGCTGGGTGCCCTCCTGCACCTGCGGCGCCCAGTTGGCCCACGTCTTTGCGCGCCTGCGCGCCGAAGGACGAGGCGGGCTGGCGGTAGAGGGGGACGGGCCACCAGGTTGAGGGGGAGGGGCGGGGGGAGGAGGACGGACGAGGAGGGAGGCAAGGGAAGCGGGGGGGGGAGGGGAGAAATTTGGAGAAGGGGTGATGAGGAGGACGAAGGAGGAGTGGGGGAGGATCGAAGGACGGGGCAGAAGGGTGAGGAGGAGGAGGAGGAGGAGGAGGATGAGGAGGAGGGGGCAGGGACGGGGAAGGACTCGGGGGAGGACGGAGGCGGAAGCGAAAATTCTGGGGGGGCGGAAGAGTGAGAAAGAAAAGTGTGAGAGGAGGAGCTTGATGAATCATTGCTGCTTTTCCTCGTAGGTCTCCGCCTGCTGCTCCTAACTCTCCACGAAATCCGCCGACCCCTTGTGGGACCCCAGGCGTATGTATTTGTTCCCCACAGAGGGGGGTCACCGCCAAAGAAGCCCCCGAGACGGGGTCAAATCCCAAGAAGACGGCCCAGATCCCAACCAGACTGTCCAGATCCCAACCGTCAGACAAAACTATGTAAAACTTTGTTACTGCATGGTCGTCTTGGCAACCCAGGGCCGCCAGACGCCAGCGGACCCGGAAGGGAGATCCAAGGAGCAAGAGGAAGAGCAAGACGAAGCCAGGACGGAGATCAACTTGGGTGAGGATAAGCCGAGAATCTCTGAGATCCGGCGGCTCTGGAGGATCTCTCGGACGCCGCGGCTTTCTCAGAGCGCTGAGCGTTCCAGGACGCTCTGAACTCAGGCGTTCCCGAACGCTGTGGAACGGACTCTTCCTCTTCCTAGCCCCGCCCGAAAGACCCAAGTCCTCGGCGTCGTGATTGTTTCACGTGGCCCCGAGATGTCTGAACCTCTTCCTGGGGACCCGCTTCTCATCCCGATCACTGTGTTGTTGCAATCCCGGGGCCTGGTAAGGGCCCCCGAAGGAGGGCAGAGGACAGTGAGGGCGGACGAAGAAGGGCGGCGGTTTTTTGGGTTGGCGATGCTCGGACTCGTGACTGCGCGCCCCAGCTGAGATGGAGTGCGCCCACAGGGAGCGCCCGGAGGGCAGAGGTTAGGAGAGCCAGGGCGCGGAGGAGCCTGGAGAGTGCAGGGCGCAAGAGGACGCAGGAGAACCATGGAGGGCGGATGAGGACCCTGCTGCAGATGAGGCTTTCACACAGCGCGCTCGCGTACGGAGCGCGAGAACTGCCAAGGATGGTTCGTGGAACAGATCGAGCATTGCCCTGAACCCCCTGAAGCTGTTCGTGCGCATGCACGCACGACCGAAATTCTGCGGATGGTTGCAACGTGCTGGGCTTCGGCCAGCGAGACCGAAGCTGGCCGCCAATCAACCAACATCACGACATCCGCATGCACCGATGTACTACATGTGATCTGCGACGTCGGGACAGGAGCGCAATGCTGAAGACGCCCAAGTGCACAGTTTCCATCGAACGCGGCGGAGCCAAGCTCGACCGCAGCATGCCATGCGTGGCACGGCTTGGAGATGTCGCTGCGCGTTCTGAGTTCGCTGCCATACTTCAGTCATCCACACGACACAGCATGCCGCAACAATCAAGCGGCCGCGCGCGGAGCAGCGGTGCGCGTCCGCTGCGGCTGTCCAAGCAAACGCTGCCCAACGACCGCAGCTGCGCCCCCTGACCTGCCTGCACTGCCAGCCGCGCCCGGCCAGCCACGGGGCGGGATCCCGAAGCGGGCGGGAGCGTGAGTCCACAGGAGACGTACACCTGTGGTTGTCGGACTGTCGCACGCACTGACCGAGGGATAAACTGGCACGGTGCTGCTGAACTCGTCGACCACCACTCCTGTGCGCCGGTGGCCGTCCACTTGAGGAGCATGGCCTCTGATCGTGTGCCTGGTCCTCCCCCCCATCCCCCTCCTTGTTCCGCCCTCGATAATCCAAGTGAGCTCCACACCTTAGCTGCCCCGATACGCAACGCGCAACACGTAGCGTATCGATACGGAGCTCAGCACCTAGACTGGAAACGAAGGTATGACGCGATACGTTGGCCAAAACGTGGGCCAATAGCAAATACGCTGAGCCAACACGTAACCTATCGTCACGGACGTTTTGAGCACGGTACGTGCTGCGCTTCACGACGGGCGTATCGAGGCAGCTAAGCTCCACACTTCTCCCTCCTCCCGCCTCCCTTCTCCCTTCGCCCTTCCTCCATACCTGCTCCCATGCCCCGGTTTCTCCCTGCCACTCCTCCCCCGCCGTCCCTCCCCTTCCCCGCCTGTCAGCGTCTCTGCCTCCTTCTTTGCCCCTCCTCCATCGTGCCCTCCCTTGGTCTATTCCCTCTCTGCTTCACACCCCACTCCCATCTCCACTGTCCCTGCCCTTTGCCTCCTCCCCATCCCCCCTCCCTAATGCCTCCTCCTTCCCCTCGCCCTACTCATCCCGCGCCTCCAACCTCCCCCACATCAACTCGTCCTCCTGCTGCTCCTCCTCCTCCTCCCCGTCCCGCTGCTCCTCATCCTGCTCGTCTTCCTCCTGCGTTTGCTCCTCATCCTTATCTCCTCTTCGCCCTTCCCCTCTCGCGCCTGATAATTGTCCCCCCCGCCTTCTCACCCACCGTCACATCCAGACCTCCACTCAGGGCCGAAATGCTCCGTCCAGGCAGGCCAGGCGGGCCTTCCGAACATCCGCTGCATCAGCCTCACCTCGCAGGGAGAAGGGGAGCAAACAAATGAAAGAGAGGTGGGCGGAGGAGTATACAGCAGGAACTTGACCACAAGAAACCTTCCACAAGAAACCCAAACCTGAGACCCCACGACGTCGCACGCTCGATCGCAAAACCATCGACACCCAAGAAACCCATGGCACCCTGGAGGCAAAATGGGCGTTTCTTGGAATAGGTTTCCACTACATGGGCATGGCACCAATACGATCCAGATGCCTTGACGCGGCCAAGAGTGGAGGGGGAGGGGGTCCAACGCCGATCCAAGAAATTTGCGGGGACATCAGAGAAAGTATGTGTGTAGTGTAAAGACTGATCACAATATCCCTCCCACCAAGCACTTGATGCAAGCACAATATAAAAGAAACGATACCACTATATCACCGTACTCAAAGCCAACGTGAGTAGGTGCGTCCACCCTCCCGCCCAGCTTGTGAGCCACAACAGCCACCGGCGAGAGGGGAATGAAATTCTCATGATCGCCCTAAATATCACATCCTTGCCTACCTGATTTTCACACAAGAAAACATACTAAATAATGCGCATATAATTATGAAGCAAGCCTCCAGGCTATTCATGAAATGTGCTTGTCGGCTCGGCAAGCCAAAAGCCGCCCGCACACCGAACCACAAATATCAACATACCAAATCAAATCTGGATGCTAACACCCAATCAGCAAATATCATGATATCAACTCAAATCTAGATGCAAACGCCATCCCTCCATTTGAAAGGGCGCACTCATCATCTCTTCACGTGAGAGGGTGCACACAATCTCTTCAATCAACCAACGTAAACACAAAGCTGGTAGTGAATCTCAATACTACCTCTTCCACCACCCAACGTGAACACAAAGTTGGTAGTGCAATCTCAGGGTGCCTGAGCTGATTTGATGATGCTGTGGGCTATGTACGTCTTGATGATCGGATCAAGGTTGTAGCTCCCATCTGGTGGGCGACCGACATGCTATCCGTGCCCCTTCTCACGCCCCGACCCCCGCGAGGGACCAGGGCGGGGACATGGATAGAAGTCTGGCCAAGGATGCCACGTTGTTTTTGCCCATGCCCTGCTGCGCCTGGCGCCCAAGAGTGGGGGGCATCGGCAGGGGTACAGTCAACCCGTATCATAAGGATGCGTGGCAAAGGATGCAAGGGCCTTAGAGGCCCGTGTGAACGTCTTTCGAACGAGGTTGGCCAACGAAAGTCGCTAAGGATGGGCCGTTACCCGCGGGAGGGGGGGGTCGGGAGGAAGGGTAGCGGTACCGGCGGCCGCGGCGTGCACCCGCCAGGGTGCGTCCACGCGCGCATCAATCGCCTGTGTGCACCACAGCATGTAGGTGTTAGGGGGGGGTCCACGCCACATCCACAGTCTGATTGTTAGCGTTACCTAGGGAGGGGGGGTGGGGGTAGCGATACACAAAAAACGCTCGCGCGCCTGACGCCCAGAGTGGGGTGCATCAGAAGGGGCTCGGATCGAAAGTCGACCGCCGAGCTCTTCCACGAGGGGTGGGGACCTCCAGGCGGTCAGAAGGACCACCGGCCCCTCCCTCGAGGGCGTGAAAACCTCGAGGCGGCCCGAGGACCGCCAGTCCCTCCCTCGAGGGGGGGGGAACCTCCCCCGAGGGAGGAAGCCTCCCTCGAGGGAGCGAACGTCGACCGCCGAGCCCTCCCTCGACAGGGCGCGCGCGGGGGGGCGGTCGCCCCCAGGAAGACCGCCAGGGCCAGGGCGACGGCGGACGCCAGCAGCCATGGCCTGGCGGGGGGTCCTCCTCCTCCTCCTCCTCCTCCTCCTCCTCCCTCCGCCTCCTCCTCCTCTCCTCTCCCCCCCCATAAGTCAGATCGGGAGAGTCCTTCCTCCTCCTCCTGCTCCACCTCCTCCTCCTCCTCCTCCTCTTCGTCCTCCTCCTCCTCCTGCTCCTCCTCCTCCTCCTCCTCATCCTCGTCCCCCCACCTTTTCGTCCTCCTCCTCTTCGTCGTCCTCCTCCTCCAGAATCGTTTCGGACATCATATCAAGTCTTCCCCGATCTAACTCTAGAGGCCTCCCAGTTGGGTTCCGAATAGATGGGGTCGGAGGATCGCGCCGCGTGGCCGATGCATCGCCGATGCATCGACGATGTATCGGCGGCGTCGGCGGCGCAGCGGCGACGACGGCGTGGAGAAGATTGGGCTCCACACCGAGCCACATCGCACATCGCCGATGCATCAGCGATGCGGCGCGACCCTCCAAACCTCATCTAGGGGGCCTAGATCCTCCTCTAAGACGAAGCAAGGACGAGCAGAACATCGGGTGAGGATAAATCGAGAATCTCTGCGATCAAGCGACTCTAGAGGATGTCTCGGGCACCGCGGACTTCGCAAAGCGTTCCAGAACGCTCTGAGAGCCTTCCGGAGCGCTCTGGAACGGATTCATCCTCGTCTTCGCCCCGTCCGATCCTCCTCTCGTTGTTGGAGAGTCGCCGCGTGTCGCCGCGGCGGCCGCGGCGACACGCTGTGCCTTGTCGCGGGAAGTCCGCTCCGCTCCACAGGGCGGGAGGCTCGGGAAACGTCAGCAGCCAGGGCCTGGAAGGGAACCTCCTCCTCTTCCTTCCTCCTCCTCCTCCTCCTCCTCCTCCTCCTCCTCCTCCTTCTCCTCCTCCTCCTCCTTTCTCCTCCTCCTCCTCCTCCTCTCGCTTCGGAAGAATCACGACGGAAGACTGCAGGCAACCATGTCTTGATCAGGCCAGAACAGAGACACAATCAGACCTGGATATAACGGGGATCTCTGAGGTCCAGCGGTTCTGGAGGATGTATCGGGCACCGCGGCCTTCCCAGAGCGTTCTGGAGCGCTCCGTGAGCGTTCCGGAACGCTCTGGCGCTCGACCCTCGCCGTGGAAGAATCAGGAAGGCTTTCGGCAATTGCAGCCATCGCGCTACCATGAGGAATGAGGAATGCAGGGGGATGAGCGATTGGGCTTTTTTGGCCACAGCGGGCCTCGGCCATACTGTAGGCTCCTCGAACTGGATATAAGGAGCGGCCCGAAAACTAGAGCCCCTCCAGAGCCCGACGTGGTCCTCATTTTAGCGCCTTTACTGTAGGTCGAGACCTCGGGCGGTCCACGTTGCGAAACGAAAACACAACGTAAGAGGTCGGGTGGGCTCCGAGGGCCGACGGTTGATCGATCGATCGGTTGGCAAGCCGCCGATCGGTCGGTCGACCTGGTCGATCGGGGATCGAGGTATTTGGAGGTTGTCAACCCGCCCTGGGGCACCAAGATCCTCTGGAACCCTTGGGCCTCTGGAAGAATCAAATCCGCGTCGGGTGGCTGGCTGGTTGATAAAGGAAGAAGTGTGTGATTGATTATTCGGATGGTTGGTTACTTGGTTGCTTGACCCATTGATTTATCGACGCGCGCCTGGTCTAGATGGAAACATAATGCAGCGCCACCAGATCTCGGCACAATGGATGAGTTGGACACGCGAAAGGGTGTTCAGGTTCCGGCTATGTGACTCTGAATGGTTGGCTGGTCTTTGCACTTTAGACGTGCAGTGCTAATGCAATCGCCCACGTTTCCCCTCCATCAGTACTCATCAACCCCTGCCTTTCCGATCCCATTTCTGCCTCCCTCTTCCTACATATCCTCCATGTTTCGCCCTTTTATGGGCTCGCAGACAGGATGTCAACAATATGTTCTGCATCTGGCGTGTGCGTGTGTGTGCGTGTGAGCGCGCGTGCGTGCGTGTGCGCGCACTGTCAGCGAGCGTGTGCGGGCGTGTCTGTCGGCGATGTGTCGCCGCCCTGTCTGGGGGGCGCCCCAAGCGACCCGGATCGGCGGCACTGGCCGAAGGCCACTACAATATGTTCTTCATCTGGCGCGCTTCTCTATCGGATGCTCCCTCTGCAGCGCTGCCAGCGTTTCAGGATCGGCGCAGTGCTTGCACCGCGCCGTTCCTCCTCCTCCTCCTCCTTCGCCTCCTCCTCCTCCTCCTCCTTCCCCTCCTCGCCCCCCTCGTCCTCCTAATCCTCCTCCTCCTCCTCGTCCTCCTGCTCCCCCCCCTTCTTCCTCCCCCTCCTCCTTTTCCTCGTCCTCCGCCTCCGCCTCCTTCTCCCCCGCCTGCGCGGGGCGCTCGATGGCCAGTAACTGACCGCCCAGAGCTAGCCGTGCAGTCCCCGGAGCCAACGTACACGACGCAATACTATACAACGCGAAGTCCAACGAAGCACACATGCCCTCGTAGAGGGCGAGCGCGCTCGACTGGCCACGCACGCCAACCTCCCGCGCATGGAATTACGGGCCGCTGCCCCGCCACGCCCTCGGCATGCCCAGGCCACAGCCCGGCACATGCACGACGCGATATTCCTCTTCCTCTTTGTTTGTAAGCCCGGGCGGGGGGACCCCCTTCCCCCCCAAAAAAAAACACGGACTCCCGGGATCTGGGGCTTTGGGACCCCCCGGACGGGCCTCGACGCGGCCCCCTGGGCCTCGCAGGGCGTTTTGCCAAGCCTTCCCAGCACACCGAGGCCGATCAGGGGGATCATCGGAGACGAGACCCCCAGGACAGCACAAGAGCGCTCCAAGAATGACCGACGTGACCTCAAGATGGCCCAAGAGGCCTCCAGGACGACCCCAAAGAGGCCTCTAAGAGCACTCCCAGAAAGGCCCCAAGAGGCACAATTCATTGATTTTCTGATGGTTTTTGGTGAATTTGGGGGTTCTCTTCTCTTCGGCTTCCCGACGCTCCAAGACGGCGGTCTTCTGGGCGTCCGAAGCCGCCTGGGAGGCTCCAAAATCGCCCCACAACCATCCGAAAAGGTCTTCCAAGCAGTCCAAGAGAGCCCCATAACGGCACAACACGGGCCCAAGATGGCCCTCAGAGAGCCCAATGGCGGCCCAAGATGGCCCCAAGACACCCTCCGAAGCATTCCAACTCATGAGCCGGTCGTTCAGGTAAACCGCGGTTGGAGGCAGGGTGGCCCGAGGAAACCCCCACAAGCCCCCAGAATACGCCCATGAGGCCTCCAGAAAGCCTTAAGGAAGTCTGAAACAACTTGTGCGAGGCCACCAGAGGCTCTCCAAGGAGGAGCCTCCGCAGAAAAGAGCTGAGGAGGATGGGGGGAATGCGCAGGGTATGGCGAAAATAAAGAAACAGAAGCATGGAGGAATGACGACGAATCACATTATTATAGCGGCGATGCCAGAAAAAGGCAACAAAGAGTTATCGCTAACTTGTCGACTTGACCTTCCTGCTATTCCGCCTGCATACCAAACTTCAAGGACCAAGGTGTATGGCGCGAAGCACCAGTGCAGTCTTGTATATATGTATATATATGTGTGTGTATCCATACATATATATTTACCCACAATGGCCACGCGGATGCGCGGACTGGAATTGCATACGGGAACTCTTCACCTAAAAAAGATAGCCAACAAAAATTGGTGTGGGCCGGCTGCCAGCCTACGGATACCGAAGTTCGCAACGCCACAGCACAGCGCCGCCGAAGCGCGCCGTCGCCGCCGCATGAAACGCCCTGACGTCCCTCCGCTAGAACGCCACAAGCGCGATGTCTCATCATTGGTCGCTGCGCGCGCTGAAAACCACCGAAGCCGCAGCTGGCGCCCGCGCGATACACCTGCACCCTCTTCCTCCCACTCCTCCTCCTCGTCCTCCGCCTCATCCTCCTCCTCCACCCCCTCATCCTCCTCCTTCTCGATCTGCCTCCTTCCCCGTCGTTGCCGCTCAACTCCCCCGCTCTCCTCCCCATCCCACTGTTCCTCCTTCTCCTCCTCATAATGATCCTTCTCTCTCCCTCGCCAGTGTACCAGATGCCGCCCTCGCCGATCGCACAGCGAACGGTGGATTAAATCAGCATCAAGCCTGTACGTGTGGACTCAAGGGCTGATAGGACGTCCCTCCAGACCGACTCCAGAGGACTCGATAAGCTGAAACCGGATGGGAATGTCGAATGCCAGGTGAGGCGGGAGCGACTCAATGTTGCTTATCCCCTCTCCTACTCTAAACCATTTGAGGACAAACGTTGTTATGCCCCAGCGCCTTGCTTTGGCTTGGGGCAGACGAGCTGCTGATGCAGCTCCTCCTCGAATCCTTCCTCCTCCTCCTCCTCCTCCTCCTCCTCATGCTGCTGGTGAGCCTGTCGCTGCTGCTGGTCATGTTGGTTCTAATCGTCGTCTTGTCGTATTCCTCCCCCATGGCCTCAATCACCTCCGTTTCCACTCACTCCTTATCCTCCGCCTCCTCATCGTTTCCCCCTCTTACTGCTTGCCACCATTCACTTAGCCTCCTTCTGGTAGCCCCCGTCCTCCCTCGTCGTGCTGCAATCGCGTTCCTCTTCTCGCGTCTTCTCCACATCCTGCGCTTCGCACTTCCGGTGCTTGACAATGTCTTCCTCCATTTCCTCCCCTCCCTCCTCCTTCGACGACACAAGCGAGTTACAGCAGCAAGACCAGATAGGCCAGCCAAACCATCTTCAACACCCCGAACCAACCGTACCTGCTAGACTATCTGAAATGCCGGCGAACAAAACAGCGGCGAACAAAACACTGCCAGCGAATGGCGCGTTGGGCTCCAAACCCTCCCAGAACCTCCTGAACCATGTCCAGACTCAAACGCGAAGCAAGGTACGCTGAATTTAATCTAAAGCGAAGGTGCGCAGCGCAAATACACCTCCAATGGCCATGCCCGTTGGCGCATTAGGTTCCACACCTTCCTCGAACCTTCGCAAGCCGTTCCCAGAGCGAACCCTGGACTCCTCATCTCAAAGTCACACAAGGATACGAAGAGCCAAGCGAAAGCAATATGGCATCAGAAAACGCCAGCGAATGCACAAGGAACGTGCGTCCGGTCATGCTCGTTGGCGCTCGGGCAGCTTTGGGCATCACATCCTCCCTGAGCCTCCTCGCACCTGTCCCGACGCACACGCGAGACACAGAAGCTCGAGTTCAAGCTAAACAGGATATGCGCAGAGCAAAACACAGCACAGCAACGCAACACTTTGTCCAAGCGGAGCACTCAACCTTTACCAGCGGCGTGTCACGATGAGCGTGGTGGGTGGGTGTACCGAGATGAGCACAGTGGCCTTTGGTGTTTTGTAGCCACGCGCTCCCCGAACCTGCCGCAGGCGCTGCCGCCTCCACGCGGAGTCCTAAGCTCAGGCAGAAGCAACCACACGCAATGCTAAGCCGAGGAGGCTACGTTTGATCTTAAAATGCTTGGACTTCAACTAAAGGCACCCATTTGGCCGCCTGCCGTCCGGCAGTGTGCTACACGGCTGGGAAGCTCATCCGTTCCCTCCTACCTCCCACCTCGCTCACTCCTCCATCCCGCTCTGCCTCCGCCAGCCCTCCGACTCCGCCACCGCCTGCTCGAACTCATCCCCCTCCGAATTCGCCCCCGCTCCTCATCCACCCCCATATGCCCTGCTGTTGTTGCCGCCCCTCCTCCGCCTCACCTCCCTCCGCCCACGCCAACGTCTTCCCCTCATCCTCCCGCTCCGTCCTCCTCCACAATCGCTGCGGGGCGAAGACACCAATTGTGCAGCCAACGCTCGCCCGTGTTGATCCGGTTCACGAAGTCCATGAGGTCCCTCGGATCTGTCTCTCTGATCACCTCGGGGAGGAAGGATGAAGAAGGAAGGGTCCATCCACTGGGTAAGGTGGGAGGAAGGCTTCACAAGGTTTCTGGGCAAACCTGAAACGAGCGCGGGAAAAGCGCGAGGTGAAACAACAACAACGGATGCAGATCGGATGCTCCAGGAGGCCTCTCGGCGCCGTCCCCGTGGGGACATGTGCGTTCCAGAGGTGGAGGGAGCAGCCCGGAAGGGTGCAGGGATGGTGCGCGAACGCGGGGGGGGGAGAGACAGATGTGTAGAGGCCTCCCATATGAGGTCAGAGTAGACGGGGTCGGAGGACCCCGCCGCATCGGCGATACATCGGCGATGCATCGACGATGCATCAGCGATGCATCGGCGATACGTCGGCACGTCGGCGATGCATCGGCGACATCGGCGTTGAGAACATCGGGCTCCACGTCGAGCCGCATCGCCGATGCATCGACGCTGCGGCGCGATCCTCCGACCCCATGTACTCCGACCCCCTCTAGGAGGCCTAGAATAATAGTTTGGCGAGGGAAAGCGCGGAAATAATGGAAGTCTGCCAAGAATCACGTGCTCATCCAGGATTGCGCTATACGCGCTTCAAAAGCACCACTGCAGAGAAGCGCCTCCTGGACGGATGGTTTCTGCCGGCCCGCCCACCCGCGCCTGCTGTGGGTGAAAAAGCGTGTGCGATGTCTGTGGAAAGACGACACACTGATGATGAAAAAGCACACGAGCACACGGGGGAAGCACAAATACCTAAACAACACCGTGTATGTTATTGTTTCCACAATCGTGTTTGTGTGTGTGTGTGTGTTTGTGTGTGTGTGTGCTTTGCGCAGCTTTTGTCCACAATGTGTTCATCAGAGCGGGTTGTTTCCCACTGTCCCTCCCTCCTTGGATCGTACATCTGGTTTCGGGGGGGAGAAGTCCCCACGAGCTCGCCAAGGGTCCTTCTGGCACCTTCTAGGCTCCTAGAAGCGCCTGCGGGGAACCACACCCTGGCGGAGAGGGTCCCGAAAGGTCGCCAAGACGGTCCAAGAGGGCCCAACGACGGCCGATCAGTGCCGCAAAACGCCCAAAACGGCATCCGGGCGGCCCAAGAGGCCGCCGAGACTCCCCGAGAGGACCCTAAGAGGACCTCCCGAAACCAGAAATTCACAGGTGTTCCTTCTGCTTGCGCTTCCGACTGCCCAAAACCACCCGAGAGGCGTCCAAGAGTCGCCAAAAGACGGCACTCGAGGCCCCCAACGGGCCCCCAGCAAGGCCCCAAGAGGGAGGACCCGGAAGCCCTCCCCGCAAGCTGCCCTTCAAGACGCCCGACGTGCCCCAAAGCGGCCCCCAGTAAGCCCGTTAGGCAGCCCCTCCCCAAAAAATTAACCTCCTCCTCCACCACCTCCCTCCCCCCAGCCTCCTCCTCCTCCTCCTCCTCCTCCTCCTCCTCCTCCTCCTCCTCCTCCTCCTCCTCCTCCTCCTCCTCTTCCTCCTCCTCCTCCTCCTCCTCCTCCTCCTGCTCCGCCTCTTCCTCAACCTCCTCCTCCTTCTCCTCCTCCTCCCTCAGCATCATACCCAGTTGTGAATGCAGCAATTGTGAGTATCGTCTTCGGTGGAGCTCCCTGTGGGCGCAGGACGCGTGTGGTGTGTGTGTGTGTGTGTGTGTGTGTGTGTGTGTGTGTGTGTGTGTGTGTGTGTGTGTGTGTGTGTGTGTGTGTGTGTGTGTGTCAAAGTGGGACGGCTGCAGCACGCGGGCGCTGCCGCTGGGGCCTTGGGTGGAGCTCCCTGGGGGGCCACGAAGCATGCGAGGGGTGCGCCGAAATGGGTGGCGCGCACGCGTGTGGACGGTGTCATTCGAGCCTTGGGTGGAGCTCCAGTTGGGCCACGAAGCGTGTGAGGGGTGTGCCGAACTTGGTGGCACGGACGCATGTGGACGTTGCCACTGGGGCCTTCGGTGGAGCCACCGATTGGGCCACGAAGCGTGTGAGAGGTATGCCGAAATGGGTGGCGCGGACGCAAGTGGACGGTGTCACTGGGATCTTCGGTGGAGCTCTCTATGGGGCCACGAAGCGTGTGAGGGTGAGCCGAAATGGGTTGCGCGGACGCGCGTGGACGGTTGGGTGGAGCTCCAGTTTGGGCCACGAAGCGTGTGATGGTGTGTGTGTGTGTGTGCCGAAATGGGTGGCGCGGGCGCGTGCAGACAGTGGCACTGGGGCCATCGGTGGAACTCCCTGGGGGGCCACGAAGCGTGTGAGAGGTGTGCCGAAATGGGTGGCGCGGACCCATGTGGATGGTGCCACTGGGGCCTTCGGTGGAGTCCCCTCTTATGGGGCCACTAAATCCGAGGCGGGGATTTATCCATATCCACCGCCTGGGGGATCGATCCTCGGAGCTCCACGGGCGGTGGATATGGATGAAAGTATTCGGGCCCTCGGCGGCCGGAATATATCCATGTCCATCGCCCGCTGGGGCACCAGGACGTCGGTTCCCAGGCGGTGGATATGGATGAATTCCTGCCTCGCACTAAACGTGTGAGGGGTGTGTCGACATCTGATGACGATGATGGAAATGATGACAACGGTCATGAGCACGATGATGGTGATGATGGGAAGTATGATGGTGATGATGACAACGAGGAGGATAGTGATGAAGAGGTTGATGATGATGACGGCGACGACGACGACGATGATGATGATGATGATGCTGATCATAGTGGTGGTGGTGATGATGAGGATGATGCAGATGACAATGATGATGATGCTGCTGATGAGGATGATGATGGGGATGCTGATGTTGATTATGATGGCGTCGGCGATGATGAGGCTGCTATGTTGATGATGCTGGAGGAGGGGGGATAGGGGGATGATGAGGAGTGAGGGAGTCGTGGCGCGCTGCCTTTTCACAACGAAGACCCAACACCCCAAGATGGCACTTCAATATGTTTTGGAGTACGTGCTTCTTTATTCAGGGGGCCCCTGGTCCTAAGAATTAGCCCAATTGCATCTCATGGGGTGTGCACTGGTCAGAAATTCGAAGGCGAACCCAACCGTGTTGACGACGGCGCCTCACGAGGCGAAAACGTAGAGAATCCGAAAGAGAAGTCGATGAACCTTGACCCTTCCAAGGTCCACTCTAATCCTGGTCGCCTGCTCCACCTTGCTGGGATCTACCTGGCTGAGCTCCTTCAACATAGCTGGGCTGGCCTGCGGGGCGGGGCTTGCGCGCGACGGCGCCGCGTAAGTGTTGGGGAATGGGGGGCGGGGGGGGGGGGGGGCGGGACGCAGCGCGAGCAACAACCGGGCACGTCTGTCCCGTGGTCGTCGTCGTCGCACTCTGACTCGCCCTTCGACTATCCATCTTCACCCTCTAACGCTCCGCATCCCCCGTCTCTCCATCCGCAGTCTCCTCTACCCATTGTTCGGCCCCTTCCCCAATCCCTTCCTCCGCGTCCCCTGCCCTTCTCAGCCCCCTCTCTCTGTACACTCCTCCTGATCCTCCGCATGGACATCCTCATCCTATCACCATCAGCCTCATCATCATCGCCCTCGTCATCCGCATCGCAGGCCTCACCAACAAACAAATCAGCACCATCGTCACGTTCATCAATTTCACCATCTTCATCATCACCCTCATCCGAGCCGCGACCACCATCACCGTTGTCATCGCCGTCGTCACCAGTAATGCCAAACTCATCTACATCACTTTTATCATCGTTCCCATCGTCGTCACGACCACAATTTTGCAAGCCGCATCATCAACAGCACCCCACCATCATCACCAACAAAATTAGTATCACCAGTACCCCCCATCGGCCCCATCACCAGAATATTCATCACAACCATCGTCACCGCCAGTATCACCATCACCATCATCACCTACATTCGTAGCATCACCACCACCATCATCATCATGATTACCCCCATCATCATCATCACCACCGCCTTCATTTGAACAGCTTCCAGTTTCCCAGACTACTGTTTGACAAGAAGTCCACACCAACATTTTCACGCATCCAAGCCCAAAGTCACCAATGATTGCATCAACCACTTAACTTTTTGAATGTGTTTAAGTATGCATATGCAGCATTGCAACTAGTAGCCACATGTTGCACAAACGTCACACGCACTCTCAACCTCAACACTCCCAACGCACATTCACAGGATGTACACATCGATCAAAAAAATCAAGATGCATGTGCACATATGGACACGGCGTTTTAAACATGTATACATCTACCCATACGAACATAGGAACGGGAATGCCACTAATACCGATAGAGGTGGCCCAAACAATAATCCCGCGTACATGCGCGCACGTGCGCCCAGAGGGGGCGGATTGAACTGCGCCCGGAGGAAGCGGAGGGAGGTGAGGAGAAGGATGGGTAGCGCGAAACAGGCTCGGCGGCTCGATGGGGGGGAAGAGGTGGAGAACGACCGAACATCCGACCACACAGTCTGGACATGTCCTTCCTCGTCTGCGCTGCGGAAGGTGTCCAGCGTCGGCGGTTCGCGCCAGTCGTCGGAGACTTCCCGCGTCAGCGCTGCGAGCAACTTTTTTCGCAGCACCTCGTGGCCATCGAGGGCCACGAGCCCGGCCGCCTCCATGGCCAGACCCCACCGCTGGAACGCCCGGGACACCTCGAGGGCGGAGCTGATGTCGGGCACGCCGGGGTCCTCGACGTTCCTTTCGCGCACCATTCCAGAAACATCTGGGGGCCACTTTTTATTTCCAGGCCGTTGTGAGCTCTTGGTCACGTTTGGGCGCCTCCTTTCAGGGCACCCACCGCAACGCGTTGTCCGGCGCCATCTGGGCGAAACGATCCACGAACACGTTCGACGGGCCAAACTCGGCCTCCATCTTCGCGCCGGGGCCCAAGCGCTTCCGCAGCACCTCCTTTCTGGCCTCGCGCTCCGCCTGAGGGGCGCTGCGGCGTCCTAGCCCGCGCGCTCCGCCCCGCGCCGCAACTCGGACACGGACGGCGCGCGGCACTCGAAGAGCTCCCCCACGGAAGCCGCTTTGGGCGGCGACGGGTCCTCGGGGCCGAGCTGGAAGATCAACCCGACGATGGTTGCGGCGAGCCGCTCGCTGCGACGCCGCCAGGCCCGCTCGACATTGCAAACGCGAATTTGCCGTGGGAGGCCCACCTGAGGTCGACGATTCGCCGGAACAGGTCGCCTACCCCGAACTCCTCGAGCCTTTGCTGGATTGCGGTCTGGGAGTCCACGACGCCGCGCTGCATGGTGGGCGCGAATAGATTGAGGAACGGGCAGAGGCGGAAACTGCGCGAGAAAGCCGGGGGACTTGAGGTCGACGCTCTTGGAGCTGAGCCCAAACGGCCGCGGGGGAGGCGGATGGGGGAGACGCCGCCCTTCGGCGACCACGCCCGACGACAGTCGCCGCTCCCAAGTGGAAGGCGCCCAGCTTCCATCTCCTACGGCCCGCCGTCCGCTAGGGAGCACCCCGCATCTCGTATCAAGAGGCCCCCGCCCTCCCGGAGCCTGGGCGCCCCGCCCGGCGCGGAGCGCCCCGCTGCCATGGGGGCGGAATATTTGCGACAGCGCGGACACTCCGCGCTCTGAGGCATTCCAGCGTGATTGGGCGCTCCGCCCCCTATGCCAAGCCAGCCGCCTTGCGGCGGACCAGGAAATTCCCCATTTGGAGTTCGGTTGGAGGAAAAATTGTCAAGAATCGAAAAGTGATACAAAAAAATCAAAAAAATGATTTAAATAGGACCCCCATATATTTTTGACAATTTCTGAACATTCCTCGTGTAGAGGGACATGCTCGACTACATTTAGAGAAACGGGGCGCTGGGGACGCGGGCCCGACTTCTGCGCGCCAAAGGTCAGGAGAACGCGACGTCTAAACTCGCCGGGTGCCTTGCATGCTCGAAGACACGCCGGATCGTGCTCCTCCTCCTCCTCCTCCCTTTTCCTCCTCCTCGTGCTCCTCGTGCTCCTCTTCCTCCTCCTCCTCCTCCTCCTCCTCCTCGTCCTCCTCCTCCTCCTCCTCCTCCTCCTCCTCCTCCTCCTCCCTCTTCCTCCTCCTCGTGCTCCTCCTCCTCCTCCTCCTCCTACCCCTGCTTCCCCTCGACATATGCATTGTGCATCGACGCCCTCGCGCAACGCGTTTGCACAGGCACTCCGCCCGCCAGGGCCTGGGCGCTCCGCCCGCCACGGCTGCCGCCCAGGCAGGGCCCCCCACCCCTGCCGACCAGCCCGAGGTCGGGGAATCCCCCGACGGCGAGGCTCCGCCGATTGCGGCCAGTGCTCCGCGTCGGAGCAAATACATCGCGCAGATGCTGCGCCTCGCGGGCGCTCCGCCCGCCGAGGCCCAGGCGCTCCGCCAGCCACAGTCGGGGGCCCCTTCCGACGGCGAGCTGCGCTCTCTCAGCGCGCCTGGTCTCACATGCCCCGCGCGGGGCGCTCCGCACCGCGCGGCACAGACGCCTCGCTAAAATCCGGGCCGCGCGCGAATCCACCGGCTGGCAAATGCTCGCTCAAAGGCAGGAGATGGCGGACGTGAGACTTCGGATTGAGGCGCGCGTCGTAGCCCGCGGGGTCAAACGCGAAAGCGCCGACAGCCTCACTTAAGTTGTTCCGCGCTGTCTCTGCTGCCGCCCAAGCCTCACGCTCCTCCGCCTCGTCGGATTCCCCCGTGCTCTCGACGTTGCTGACCTCGACCCCGGCGTCCGTGCTGGCGACGTCGGCGAGGTCATCGGCCCTTTCGCGGGGCGTAATATGCTTTGCGCCCCGCTCTGCCGAGGGCGCGTCGGCCGCCTTGCCCGACGATGCCAGAGTCGCGAGGGGCCCGCCTTCGCGCCATCTCCCCGAGCGCATCGCATCGGGCTCGAACCCCCGCGCCGCAATCGCCCCGAGCGCGCCTTGAGCTCCCGCAGGGGCTCCGCCATGGCGCTGCGGGGATACTCGGTGACCGACATGTCGCCTGGCTTTCATGTGCCTGCCCAACATGCGCCTGACAGGCAAGGGCCTTCCTGCTTTGGCTATCCAAGACAGCAAAGTGGCTTGCCCGAGCGCGATGCATTGTCTCCGCAAGCTCCGCACCTGCGAAGCTGAGGCATCTTCGGTGCATGGCCGTGATATGCGGAGCAAGCGCCAGCACGTCGGGGACAAGCACGCCGCTTGCGGACTCAGCTGGCGTCACTGCTTTCCGTGCGCGGACGCACGCCTCTGACCTCACGTCGACCGTGTCGTTTGCGAGCCCTTCGGCGATCCCGCGGTGGTCTTGGCGCGGGCAGCTCGCACTTCTATGAAGCCGAGGCCCATGACAAGTCGACGCGCGGTTCGTCCTCCACCTTGGCCAGATCCCGCGTCCTTGAACGCCTGTGCACGAGGTACCGCAAGAAGCCGGCCTCCAGCCCCGCACGGGACAGCGCCTCCTTCGTCAGGGATTTCAACATGCGTACGCGCTGCGCCTGCAGGAGGCGGGCCTTGACCGCGAGGCACGCGCGTTCCCAACTGCGCGCCACGGCTCGTCGTATCCAAGCGTTCCGGGACAGGCTGTCCTCTACCTCCACGCCCAGCGTGCCGTATGCGAAAAGGGCGGCTCCCAGGAATCCTTGCGCCCTCGTCGGTGGCGCGCCCGAAGCGCGAATGTATCCCACGTGCTCGTGCACCTTGGCCACCGAGACGGGGAGGCCATATGCAGCTGAGCCGAAGCTGTCGCGGGAACACCGCATGTACAGCGACATCGGGAAATCTCGGCGCGCAAGCGTGTTATTCGCCTTCCCCACACATGTGTTCACCAAGAGCTCCTGGGCGCGCAGGTCGTCAACTGCATCCGCCGCTTCCCAGCTGAAGCGGCAACGAAGCGGCAATGGTAGCCGGCGGTGCTAGCTACGAGGAACAGCAGTCCCAGCCGTAACTCGCGTTTTTCAGCTCCCCGCTGGGTCAAAACAGGGACCGCAAGACGGTTTCCGTTGGGGTTCTGGTTGGCCCCGCTGTGACTGCAGGCCCCGTGGGTCTCGGCGTTTTCCTCCGCGTGGCCCTCCAAGCCGGCAGCAGCGTGCAGGGAGCTGCCAGGAGGGTCGGGGCTTGCTTCTTCCCACGGGAACCGCAGCGCGGGCGTCGCCGCAGCACCGCGACAATCCCACAGCGCGTTCGCAGCGGCACCTGGCTGGACCATGGGACCCTCAACCCCCTTGGTGCAAAAGTTCCTGAAGCTGGGCGGCGCAATGTCCCCTGCCCTCCAACTTTGAACCGAAAATTCGTGGACGCTTCCGCTTTCTGACCTTTGTGACTCCCCCTGCTTACCGGGACATGGTTGATACAAGTACCCCCGCTGTTGTATCCGCTCTATGGCCCCAGCGTGATCCGAATCAATTTGAAGCATGTTGGGGGTCATCCGCCATAGCTCTAGCACGTCCTCTTACCGTCTGGCTCGGGGGCCGCAACATGAATCGAATTAAATTGAAAGCGCGTGGGTGGTTATCAACCACAGCTCGAGCAAGTCCTCTCGCCGACAGCTGACGTTGGATACGAGTATCTCCGAAGGTGCGCCCGCGTCCAGGGCAGGCGCCTTCTCGATGGGGCTCAACGACACGATTTGAGCCCGAGCCCCCAAACAGCGCAGCATCCTCGCTCGACGGACGGAGAGGGCATGCGTGCACTTGTGCACGCATTTTCGCACGGCAACATACAACACAAGACGCTGCGCATATGAAGCGTAATTGCATGTGTTCTTGTGCTTTAAATTGTGCTTGCGAAGCCTGGGGCCACTCAAACGTTGTTTCTATGTTTACAATGTTCTGGGTGATTATGTCGTTTAACGCAGCCTGGGGCCCCTCAAACCATCACCAGCAGGGGGCTGCCGAGCTTGGAACACGAGCGCGGGTGCGTGCGGTACTGCTCCTCGTCGTCGTATCCTGCTCCCTTCGTCGTCGTCGTCGTCGACGTCGTCGTCGTCGTCGTCCTCCTCCTCCTCCTCCTCCTCCTCCTCCTCCTCCTCCTCCTCCTCCTCCGGCAAGGGGCGATGCCCCCCCCTCCTCGTCGCCGTCGTCGTCCCGCCCTCTTTGTCGTCGTCGTCGTCGTCGTCGTCGTCGTCGTCGTCACCTCGTCGTCGTCGTCACCTCGTCGTCGTCGTCGTTGTCGTCGCCGTCGTCGTCGTCGCCCTCGTGAGTGCGGCTGCTCCTCGTCGTCGTCGCCTTCCGGCAAGGAGCGATGGTGAGGACGACGGCGAGAACCTCGACGAGGCAACGGAGGCCCTCGTGGCGGCTTTCGTGGAGGCGGCCCTCGGCGGCCCTTGTGGAGGGCCGCCCTCGGCGTCGGCCCTCGGGCAAGATCCACAGATTCGCAGTACGTGTAGGCATGCGCCCGAGACAGCTCTCGCGGCACCTCCCTCGACGCCGCCGCCGACCACGCCGAGCCCGACGGGGGGCAGGAGTCGAATGTGCACACGCGGCACAAAAAGAACGCTTGAAGCTCCCCGCGGATTCCCTGGATCTGCTGTGAGCAATTTGGGTGACCCAACACGGGGTCGAGCTGAAAGGGGGTGGTGCAATAGATTTGGGGCACTTGTATTGCAAAGGTATTGCGCCGGAGAATCATATTGAATATTGCATTGTATTGCAAGTAATGCATTGCACGCGAAAGTCCAGCAATACATTTGCGCCCCGGAATGTATTGCGCGCCCCAAATGTTTTGCAACCCCACAAATCTATTGTACCAAATCTATTGCACCACCCCCTTGTCGCTGGTCCTTTGGGTCAACCCGAAAACCCCCGGCGAGTGCGCGCGCCGAGGTGCAGCTGGCGCGCGGCGCGCGGGCGCCGGGCTCTGGCGCCGAAACGCGCGCGCACAGGGGACCAGGCTACACCGAGGGTTGACGGGTCACTGCACCGACCTTGCAGACGTGCTGCAGCGGATGCTTGCGTGAATTTCTGTCAACGCAGAACCCCGAATTGCAAGCGAAAGACAAAAAGAATTTCACGTGGATTTTTGCTAGTCTTCATTCCTGGCCAAAAACAAAACCACATGACATTTATCCTGAAATGCGGAACGAAATCCTCCAGGACAGTCCGGGCCCATCCTGTGGCTTTCCGCACGAAGTCCGCTCTGCGATGTGGGCGCCATGAGCTGGGGCTCTCTGGGTGAGCTTGCCGAGCCTTATGTTGTTCCCATCGTACTTAAGGACCACATCCCAGAAATAATTTCGAGTCCCCGCAAAAGTGTCGAAAGAATGTCGAACGAGTGTCTAAATAGTGTCGGACGAGTGTCTCCAAGGGAGCTTGTGTCTAATACACGCGAAAACCATCGAGCTTCGGTGTATTTGTTTGGTGCTCGACATCATTTGTGGTGATCTTTGGTGCCCTCCTCCTCCCTCCCTCCTCCTCCTCCCTCCTCCTCCCTCCCTCCTCCTCCCTCCCTCCTCCTCCTCCTCGTCCGCATCCTTGCCGGTACCCTCCCTCCTCCTCCTCAGCAGCGTTCTGTGTACTCTGCGCGCTCCTCCTCCTGCTCCGTCTCGCCCTGCTCCGCCTGAGGCGGGGGAGGTGGGAGGGGTATTGGTTGGAGAGGACGCGCGAGAGGACACAAGATCCTTCCGAGGCCACATTGCCGCAGGAATGTAAGAAGGCATGGGTCGCGAAGCTCAGGACACAAGGGTACCCTTGATTTGGTAGGGTTGACCTACTAATCAGTCTCGTCTGTAGGTGGTCTTCCTCCCCCGCATCCTCCTGACCCCTTACATGTCAGCGGCTCGGAGATTGGCACCAGCACCGATATATCGGTGGAAGCCTCCATCGAGTGAGGATGACCCCGATCTCGGTGATGGTGGCGAAACTCAGGCTTCTTGGGTGGCCGACGGACCCCAAAGATCCAACGCAATGAAGAAATCAAAACGGAGGTTTTTCGTCGTTTTCGGCCTCCAGGGGCCCTCGCCGGGCCGCGGGACCGTCACAAAACGACCCAGGATGGGAAACTGGACCCGGAGAATGGGTCGAGACTTCCAGGGGGGCGTATCGAACAAATCACGACATTGGATCTCTGGCACTGCCGCCAACACCGAAATCTACGATCACCCTCGCCCGGTGGAGACACCCCATGGAGGAGTGCTGGTGCCACTCTCCAGGCCTACCACGAGGAGTGCACCTTCCTCGTCCTCGCCCTGCCTCCCGCCAGCCCGCCGCTGTCTTCCAGCCCAGCAGCGCGCTCTTTTCACAGCCTCTGCCGCTTGGCGCACCCCGCGGCGCCGCCGCCCGCCGCCGCAGGGGGCCGGCCGTAGTCCCGGGGCCTTCCGCTCTCGCACGTGTGGAGCTTCTCGTCCAGGTAGTGCTGCAGCAGCACCTCCGGGGCGGCGCGCGTGACCACATCGGCGCCCCCGCGGCCTGTCGACTTCAGGGGCGCGATGCCCTGGATATAGCGCTCGCAGGGGCGCGCTCCGTGCCCGGCGCCGCGCGGGGCATCCACGGCCAGAGCGGGCCCTGCACACGGGGCCGCGGCCGAGGGACCTGCCTGGCCCGCGAGGCCAGGGGGCGCTGTTTGGTTTTGTTCCCGCCACTGAAGAGTAGCGCTTGGGCGAGGCGGGGCACGTCGGGGCAGGGTTGGGTCGGGCATGTCCTCCTACAGGCGGATGTTGGATGATACATTTAAAACATCATCCCCCAAACTATTTTCTACAATTTTTATAGATTCTTCCTGTAACCTGTACAAGGACAGGCCCGACTGGAGGGCAGGGGAGCGCTGCGATCGCTGTCGCATGCGCGCGAACTCCAGCGCGTGGGGGGTCCGAACCCCCCTCCCCCTCGTACGACCGTTCCCGCTCACCGTGGGCCCAAGGGGACGGGCTGGCCCTGGCAACGATCCGTTTCGCGCCAAAAGATGGCAAAAATATCACACCAGGGAACCGCGAACCCGGGAATCCGGAACCGGGAACCCAGGAACCCAGCTGGCTACCGACATCGGCCCGGGACTTTGGCCAAATCTTTCCATACCTGCTGGGTACAAGCACCGATTGGGGAACGATATCTGGATGCGTACACGTCTTCAGCCCGTGAGCACCACCGCGTGCGACGCGAGTAGCATGGTGCCGCCGAGGGAAACGCGCAGCACCTCCGCGCCGCGCCCCGCCGCGAGGTCGGCGAGCGCCGCCTCCTCCTCGGGGGGCAACCCCCGGTCGTCGCCCACGATGGCGACGACGCCCCGCAACGGCTCGCCCTGGCGCAGCTGCGCGCAGGCCCTGCCTCGCGATCGGCAAGCCCAGACCGCCTCGAGCCATGAGTGGGGATACCAAAAGGTACCGATACCGCCACTCCCCGGACCTCCCCCGGGGTGCGTTCTGACCAGAATTTCGAAGCGAATCCAGCGGTGGCGACGGGCGACGGGAGCCTCCCAAGAGGCCCAAAAAGGGGAAAACGGGCGACGGGGAAGAGGCATGGGTACCTCTTCCTCCTCCGAATGAGGAAACAAAAAATGTCACGACGGGAGGTTTTCCGCAGTTTGCGGCCCCCGGGCGCCCTCCTCGAGCCTCGGGGCCATCAGGGAAGCGACTCATGACGAAGCACTGGTCCCGGGGGAAGGGCTCGGGACCTCTGGGGGGCCGCCGTGACGAACAGATCATGACGTCGGGGGTCTGGGAACGTATCCATACCCGCGCTCTCGCGGTCTGGAATCTGCAGCGCGATCCCGTAGATACTTTTTTGTTTACCGACCGCTATCGGGCAGCCGCGCAGCGTCCGTAAGTTATACGACAGCCAGGCCTGCGCAGCACAGGGCGGGAGCCTAAACTACAGCTGGCAAGCGCGGAAAAAACAATCCCGTGGATACGCGATCACATGGACACGCCATGTGCGGGGCATCCGCGATAGAAACGTCCTGCATCCACTGGGTCGCGGGCCAGGGGCCGCGAGGCTGTGGATACGGATACGTGTTCTGCCCAAGACTGCCGATGGGCAACCCGTCCAGGGCCAGCAGCAGCACCACGACGCGGCCGCGTCCGGCGGGCTCGGCCCCCTCGTCGACTCAAATCGGCGCGGGGGGGTTGCCAAGGGGATGGGGGGGTTCTCTAAGTCGATGCTGAGGTAGGTCATTGCTGGCATGCCGTAACGTACGAATGGGTTACAATGGCCATGGACGCCTTGGGGGGGGTAGCGGACCGTGATCTAACCCCACTAAGCCGCGCACTCGTAGTCCACCTATGAGCCAGGCTAGGCCAGATGTAATCCACCTCTGCGTCCTCCAATAACTAGGGGAACTAAAAGGCACCGACACCGCTGCTCACTGGGCCTCTCCCAGGATGCGCTCCGACCAGAGTCTCGAAGCGAATCCAACGGTGGCGACGAGGGCCACCCAGGCAGCCCACAAGGGGAAGCAAGAAGCAATGGCATCGTTATGGGCACCTTTTCCTCCTCCGAGAAAATCGCCCTCCCATCCTCTCAGCAACCCCCCACGCCGATCTGAGCAGGACGACAGACCCAGCGTGAAGTCGAGCGTGACCCCCCACAGGCGGGTTTGGGACGGAAACTAAAGAAGAGTCAAAAAAATACACCAAGCACGCTGAACAATAGTAGAACTACGTTTGAAGATTCCCCCTGTAGAGGGACAGGTCCCACTCAGACAAAGCGCCATAAGCGTAAGCTCGCGGAGGTCCGCGCAGTCTTCTCGGACGGATGCTGGACCCCCCGCCCCCGCGCGGGGGAAGCCATGGGGCGGCGCTGGAGCCGACCCGAGGAATGCGTGCGGCTCTCCAGAGATGTCAGCGTATCTGGCGGCGCGCACAAAGGGGGCAGGGGGAGGGGGGGGGGAGGCTTCCGAGAAGCAGGCCGCTTCTCAGAGCGCCGGCCCCACGCCTAGAGAAAGAAGGCCCGCGGCTTCTGAGGAGCAGGGTCTTTCTCATAAGCCTGTCCGCCCTCCCCCTTGACCCCGTCTGCGCGTGGCCTATTTACAGTCAACCCGTATCATAAGGACGAACGCCAAGATGCAAGGGCCTTGGAAGGCCGTTTCGAAGCTCTTTGAGCGGGGCGCGGCCAACAAAAGCGGTCAAGGATGGACCGAGGAGGCAAGGATGCAAGGGTACCCTTGGGAAGGCTGCCCATCCTCGTGATGCGGGTTGACTCGGCCCCCTTCTGCGCGTGGCCTATACTGATGCAATTTGATGTGCTCCAATCCTCGGCCGCCCCGGCGGGAGGCTCCTCGCGGAGCGCTGCGGCCAAACTCTTGGCCAGGCTGCGCCTGCGCGCGACGAAGCCCCGCAGCGGGCTGGCCGACCACGCCTCGGGTTATGTCTCAAAGACCACATCCCAGAAACAAACTCGAGCACCCGGAAAAGTGTCGAAAGAGTGTCGAAAGAGTGTCGGACGAGTGTCTCCCAGGGCCCGACACGTGAAAACCGCTGAGCTTCGGTACTTTCTTGGTGCTCGAGATTCTTTCCGGTGATCAAGGCTAAAGCAGGTTGGAACATCATGGAGGGGGAGGGGAGGGGGAGAGGGAGGGGGAGGATGAAGAAAGAGGAGGAGGAGGAGGAGGAGGAGGAGGAGGAGGAGGAGGATCGAGGAGGAGCCTCGGGGTGCTGCTGCGGGTCTGGCGCGGCGCAGCCCTCCTTCAGCAGCGCGTCCAGGCCCGCCCGCACGCGCAGCGCCAGCGAGTGCTCGTCCGGGCGCAGGTCGCGCACCAGCGCGCCTGAGACCTCGAGCGTGTGCCCGCTGGCCTGAGGTCGGGGTCCAAAAACACAAGGGATTTGCTCCATTCCTGAAACTCGGTTGCGCCCCTCACGCAAATCGGCGGAGCCAGGGTCGAAAAACAAACAGGACACTGCTTCACGGCGGCGCCCAGACCTCATGATTTAGCTTTTGCATCTCCCATTGTCCGAGGAAGGGGGCCGGCGGCATGGGGCGAAGCCCTTACGGATAAAAAGAGCCAACAAGTTACCCCCCAAGAAGTCCAAAACAGTCGACAATTGGTCCCTGGACAATTTTCATACTGTTTTTGAGCATCCCTCCTGTAGGGGGGCATGCCCGACCTGGCAGTTGCGCCGCAGGCCCTGGCTCCGGAACAGGGGGGGGAATTTTGGAGGGAAAATCAGCCGGCCTCCTTGTGGGGCCACCAGGCTGTAGACCGAAGGTTTGCAGTTTCCTGTGCCAGTTGCAGCTTCCAGTTTCTTGCTGCTTACTGCTCCTTGTTTATGGACCGCGCGAGGGGGGGGAGGCCCAAACGGGCAGGTTTAGCACGCCTTGAGCGTGTGCTCTCAATTGCTGGGGTGAGTAAAAATTCACACCCCTCACGCACATCGGCGGGGTCAGGGTCCAAAAACAATTCGGTGGCACCCCTCACGCAGATCGGCGGGGTCAGGGTCCACAAACACATGGGATTTGCCACACTTTTAAAATTTGCTGGCACCCCTCACGCAGATCGGCGGGGTCAGGGTGCAAAAACAACACATGGGAGTTGCCACATTTCTCAAATTCGGTGGCACACCTCATGCAGCTCGGCGGGGTAAGGGTCCAAAAACATAGGCGATTTGCAGAATTTCTAAAATTCGGTGGCACCCTTCACGCAGATCGGCGGGGTCAGGGTCCAAAAACATATGGGATGTGCCACATGTCCGAAATTCGATGGCGCCCACCACGCGGATTGGCGGGGTCAGGGTCCGACGACCCAAGGGATTCTTAACATTTCTGAAATTCGGTGGCACCCCTCACGCGGATCGACAGGGTCAGGGTCCAAAAACACAAGGGATGTGCCACATGTGTTAAAAACTCGGTAGCGGCCCTCACACAGATCGGCGGGGTCAGGGTCCAAAAACACATGGAATTTGCTACATTTCTGAAACTCGGTGGCACCCCTCATGCAGATCGGCGGAGTCAGGGTCCAAACACACACACAGGATTTGCCACATGCCTCAAATTCGGTGGCACACCCTCACGCAAATCGGCGGGGTCAGGGTCCAAAAACATGGGATTTGCAACATTCCTGAAATTCGGTTGCGCCCCTCACGCAAATCGGCGGAGCCAAGGTCGAAAAACAAACAGGTCCCGACACTGCTTCACGGCGGCGCCCAGACCTCATGATTTATGATTTAGCTGTTGCATCTCCCATTATCCGAGGAAGGGGGCTGGCGGCATGGGGCGAAGCCCTTACGGATAAAAAGAACCAACAAGTAGCTCCCAAAAAGTCCAAAATAGTCGAAACTAGAACCACGCGCGCGCTTCGCGCGCGCTTAGGTTCTGTCGAGTCACAGACCCAGGAATCGTTGCGAGAAGAAATTGGTGACGCGAAGCGTCTTGGGGGCGTCCTTGGACGTCTGGGGTCTCCTGGGGCCTCTTGAGGGGCCTCCTGGGGGCCTCCTGGCGGCCTCTTGGGGCGGAAGGCTCGAGCTTGCGGTTCGTGGTCCCCCTCTGGGCCCCCTCTTGGGCCCGTCTTGGGGCCCTCTTGGGCCATCTTGGGCGCCTCTTGGGCCGTCTTGGGGCCCTCTTGGGCTGTCCTGGGGCCCTCTTGGAAGCTTCTTGGGCCGTCTTGGGGCGGTCTTGGGCGCCTCTTGGGCCGTCCTGTAACGTCGGAAAGCCCAAAAGACAACTTTGTTGAAAATGTACGTTTTACGAAGGGAATGGGCCAATTTTTGCGTCTAGGGGCCCTCTTGGGACGCATGTTGGAGGCTTCTTGGGGCCTCTTGGGGGCGTCCTTGGACGTCTGGGGTCTCCTGGGGCCTCTTGAGGGGCCTCCTGGGGGCCTCCTGGCGGCCTCTTGGGGCGGAAGGCTCGAGCTTGCGGTTCGTGGTCCCCCTCTGGGCCCCCTCTTGGGCCCGTCTTGGGGCCCTCTTGGGCCATCTTGGGCGCCTCTTGGGCCGTCTTGGGGCCCTCTTGGGCTGTCCTGGGGCCCTCTGGGAAACTTCTTGGGCCGTCTTGGGGCGGTCTTGGGCGCCTCTTGGGCCGTCCTGTAACGTCGGAAAGCCCAAAAGGCGACTTTGTTAAAAATGTACGTTTTACGAAGGGAATGGGCCAATTCTTGCGTCTAGGGGCCCTCTTGGGACGCATGTTGGAGGCTTCTTGGAGCCTCTTGGGGGCGTCCTTGGACGTCTGGGGTCTCCTGGGGCCTCTTGAGGGGCCTCCTGGGGGCCTCCTGGCGGCCTCTTGGGGCGGAAGGCTCGAGCTTGCGGTTCGTGGTCCCCCTCTGGGCCCCCTCTTGGGCCCGTCTTGGGGCCCTCTTGGGCCATCTTGGGCGCCTCTTGGGCCGTCTTGGGGCCCTCTTGGGCTGTCCTGGGGCCCTCTGGGAAGCTTCTTGGGCCGTCTTGGGGCGGTCTTGGGCGCCTCTTGGGCCGTCCTGTAACGTCGGAAAGCCCAAAAGGCGACTTTGTTGAAAATGTACGTTTTACGAAGGGAATGGGCCAATTTTTGCGTCTAGGGGCCCTCTTGGGACGCATGTTGGAGGCTTCTTGGGGCCTCTTGGGGGCGTCCTTGGACGTCTGGAGGCCATCTTCAGCATCTCGGAGCCCTCTTGGAGGCCTCTTGGAAGTTTCTTGGGCCGTCTTGGGCGCTTCTTGGGCCGTCTTGTCTGACTGGGGAGGCCTCCGGCAAGCCCCGACGAGCCTCCGGGCCCCCCGGGGCGCACATTTGTGGTCGAGGTCCCGGCCCCGGGCCCCCGGACCCGGTGCGCCGTTATATGTATAAATGGTCCCCGGACAATTTTCATACTGTTTTTGAATATCCCTCTGTAGGGGGGCATGCCCGACTTGACGCTGGCCTCGAAGGCGAGGCAGACCTGGCAGTTGCGCCGCAGGCCCTGGCTCCGGAACAGGGCGGAGTTGATTGCTGGGAGGCCGAACGGATCCCGATGCCTCTACTCCCCATCCTCCTCCTGGTCCTCCTCCTCCTCCTCCTCCTCCTCCTCCTCCTCCCCCTCCTCCTCCTCCTCCTCCTGGTCCTCCTCCACCTCCTCCCCCCTCCTCCTCCTCCTCCTCCTCCTCCTCCTCCTCGCCTCTCCTCCGCCTCCTCCTCCGCCTCCTCCCCTCCCCCCCTCCCCCTCCTCCTCCTCCGCCTCCTCCTCTCTCCTCCTCCTCCTCCTCCTCCTCCTCCTTCGCCTCCTCCTCCGCTCCTCCTCCCCCTCCCCCTCCTCCTCCCCCATTCCCCCCCCCCTCCCCCTCCTCCCTGACCTCTCCTGCGGGGTGCGATCCGACTGGGAATCTCGAGGCGAGAGTCCGACCGTGGCGACGAGCGGCCCCCAGGAGGGCCCACGAGGCGAACACAAAGGCCAGGGCTAGCGGCATCGGTGCCCTTCCCCCCTCCGAGATGCAGTTCAGCCCGACGTCCACGCGGCCCGCGCCGCGGGGGTCCCTGGGGTCGAAGGCCTCCGCGTCCCCACGGCGCAGGGGCACCAGGAAGCGGCGCCAGAAGCAGGGCAGGCGGTCCGGCCCGGCCCCGCCCGCGCCGGCGCAGGGGAGGCACCACTCCCCGGGCCTCGCGCCGAAGGTGCAGCGCTTCGTGGTGTGCTCGGGGCTGCCGCAGTGGGTGCACGCCGCCGCCTGCGGGCACTCGCTGGCGGTGTGCCCGCGCTGGCCGCAGGTCTTGCACTTCTTCCAGCCTCCCGGCCTGCCGCCCTGCGCCCCCTCGCCTCGGGAAGGCCAAAGACGCGCCCTGAGGGCCACGTCAGTAGATGCAGTGCGTGGTCGCCGCGGCCACGGCTCGGGACCCCGTGTGCGTCAAAACCTGGCCTCTGGGCGACCCGATGTGGACCCCGAGGCCCCCTCGAAATACGCACGTGAGGTCTGGGGTATGTTTTTGGTCCCCTGAGGTCTGACGACGCCGCGGGCAACATGCCACATACATCGGGGGATACAAACGAACTCTGCACCCCGACCTTCTGCGGCACTCTTCGAGCTGGACCGACCCGCGAGAGCCCCAAGGGTTAAGTCGGGCGTGTCCCCTACAGGGGGATTCTCGAAGAAAAAAACAAAACCCAAACAAATATGCCAAAATGGTAAAAAAGTACTCTGAGCACTCCCAAAATAGTCCCTGGACTATTTTTTGACTATTTTTGAATATTCCCCATGTAGAGGGACAGGCCCCACTTAACCCGAGAGCCTGGACCATGCGCGAAGCCGCCCGCTGTGCAGAAGCACTGCGACGCCCGCAGCTCAGGGCTCCCTGATCGCAGCGGCCTCCGCGGCCGCCGCCGCGGCCGCGCCCCCCGCCGACCGATGCCTCCGCGCCGCCGCGGCCGCCTCGTGGAAAACGATAGCCGCAACCCGCGGATAAGGATGCATCCCCCCCACACCCTTGGAGGCAGGAGGGAGGAGGAGGAGGAGGAGGAGGTGGAGGAGAAGGAGGACGAGGAAGAGGAAGAGGAGGAGGAGGAGGAGGAGGAGAAGGAGGAGGAGGAGGGGAGAAGAGGGGAGGAGGGGGAGGGGGAGGAGGAGGAGGAGGAGGCGGAGGAGGAGGAGGAGGCGGAGGAGGAGGAGGAGGAGGGGGAGGAGGAGGAGGAGGAGGAGGAGAAGGAGAAAGTATATCCGTTGATCCACAGAATTGAATATGGCTCACTTGGCACAACCGGCGGGGAGACGGAACTTGGTTATCCCCCTCAAACTTCCTGTCGTAGCTCGGAGCTTCGGGGAGATCGATCCAGACATCCTGACACCAGTATCTTCGGGAGAAGATTGATTCTCCTCTCCGGACCCTGGACTTTCTTACCCCCAGGGGATTATTCTCACCAGCAAAAGGTTAATAAGGGGGCCAGCGCAGGAGAGAACGATATGAAGGGGACCCGGGACACTCGAACAAAACGGCACAAATCCCAGGACTCCCCATAATTTCCAGTACCTTCTGCGTTTTAGGCCTTCCCCCCTTCTTCCCATAGATTCCCATAGGTTCCTGACACTCGTTTGTGTCTGTGTGCTATTTCCCCTTCCTGACCGTGAAGTTAGCTCGGGCATGTCCCCCTACAGGCGGATTTGGGGCGAAAAATCAAAATACTAAAAGCATGCCCCAACATGTTAAAACATTCAACAACAAAAAATCCCCCGATGATTTTCTTACTGTTTTTGAATTTTCCTCCCGTAGAGGGACAGGCCCGACTTACGAGCAAAGGCATGGACCTGGCCTCGGTTTTGGACGCCCGAAATGGGCACGGAGAGAATGGCTACAATGCCCAACAACAAATGTTGTCCCAAACCAACAGCGGCCGCTGTTGGGCGGGCGGCCTTCTGTCTCAAATGGAGACAGGCCGCGGCGGCGCGGACAGCGAGTCCTGCTCAACATGAACAGGAACTGCTGTTGGGCATTGTACCCATTCTTTCCGTACCCATTTCGGGCGTCCAGATCGGTGACGCACCGCCGACAGCCCCCGGCGACCGGCCGGCGACCGAGAGCGAGGCCGCACACGCTCTCCGCGGAGTCCGCAGGCCCTGGACGCTGGGGGGCCCTGCGGGGCGATGCAGTGCGCGATGGGGGGTCGCAGCTCAGCTTGGAGGCATGGAAGAAGGTGATCCTGGATTTCGGTGTTGGTGGTAACATTTCGGTCACCTTGAAAACCAGAGTATTACCACCATCACCGAGATCGAGATCTTCTTCCCTCTATGGAAGCACACCGCCGATATTGGTGTTGGTGTCAACCCCGAGGCCTGCGATCAGCGCCCCTCTCACGGGGACTCCACTGCAGCCAACCCGTACAACAGGGACGCACGACCATCGAAGAAAAACACAACCACATAAACAGAAACTGTTGGCGCTCCGCGCGGATTTCTCGGATCCGCGCTGGGCCCCCCTGGCGCGATCCGCGCGCCAGGGAGGGGGGTCCACCGCAGATCCAAGAAATCCGCGCGGAGCGCCAAAAGTTTATGTTTTATGTGGCTTCTTCTTCTAGATAAGGATGCAGGGGCCTGGGAGGGCCATGTCGACACTCTGCGGGCGAGGCGCGGCCAGCGAACGCAGCCAAGGATGGGCCGAGGGGGGAGGATGCAAGCACTGTGACGGGTCCTTTGGCCAGTGCGAAACCAACCCTTCTCGCTGTGGGCAACCATGCCAGGCCAGGGAGAGGCCCCGAAAAACGGCAACTTTCGGCCAATTTCCGAAGTACCTGTTGGTGAGTACCCGCTACGGTGCCGCTGACGAAGCGCACCAGGGGTGGGCGCTGGAGGCGCCGCCGAGGGGACCTGGCGCAGACCCTAGAGATCCCCTGTGCTCCCTGGAGATACAGCCTCGTCTCTCCGACGGATGACGGCTGCCGATGCATGCCGGGGCCACCAAGCCCCAGGTGTGCTGACGTGCGTTCCTGGGTGGGGGCCGCTCGAGACAAGATGAGTGCTTCTTAGTCTTCTGCCTCCTGCTTCTGCCCGATGCTCCTCAATTCTCCTCCTCCTCCTCCTCCTCCTCCTCCTCCTCCTCCTCCTCCCCCTCCTCCTCGTGCGCGCCTCCGACCAGTACCTCCCGAGCCCTCCTCCTCACCGATCCTCCTCGAACCTCCCCCTCGATCCTCCCCCTCGATCCTCCTCCTCCTCCTCTTCCTCCTCCTCCTCGTTGATCTTCCTCCTCCTCCATGATCATCCTCCTCCTCCTCCTCCTCCTCCTTCTCAAACCTCCTCCATGATTATTCTCCTCGTCCTCCTCCTCCTCCTCATCCTCGCTCCTCGTGCACGCCTCCGGCCAGCAACTGCCTCCCGAGCCTCCCCCCGCGCCCGCCAACAAGGGGCCACGTGCCGGGTGCCGGCCCCTCGCTGCTCTGGCGGCGCACTCTGCGGGGGGCCCCGGAGCCGCTCCCGAACCGCGCTTCGCCAGAGCAGGGGGCCCGGCTGCAAGAAGCCTTCCACAGGAGACCCAACCCTGAGAGGCCAGGACGTCAGGGGAAGGATGCAGGTGCTTCACCTCTCGGCCGGTGCCCGCTCGGAAGCGCTCCGCCTGGCCAAGCTTGGCTCGAGCCGCACCTGGCCATGGCGACGCGAGCGAGAGAAAGAGCAGCGGCCGGGCGTGCAAAGACCAACCGAGACCTGCGTGGGCTGCCTTGCAGCGAAGGCCAGTCCACAAGAAGCCTTCCACAAGAAAGCTGACCCTGAGACCCCAGGACGTCCACTCAATTCTGGGGTGGGAGCGTCACGCTTTCCACAGCGTAGCCATCGAGGCCCAAGCAACCCAGGGCACCTGGAGGCAAGATGGGTGTGTCTTGGCATGGGTCTCAACTGTAGAGGGTTCTACGGATGTCGTTGGAAAAGCAGCGTTAGGTGAGGCGCGTCCCCGTACAGGCGGATTTTGGACGAAAACAACAAAACAAAAGCACAATCAAACAACATTCAAGAATTATTACACAAAACCGTCCCCATAGCATTTTTACTATTTTTGAATATTCCCCCTGTAGAGGGACAGGCCCGACTTAAAAGTAGCGTGCAGCATCGATCTTCACACATCGGCGGCGAGCAACAGGAGGAAATGAGAGGGAGAAGGCCTTCTCGGAAATCGGCGGGACTTCTCAGAGGCCCTCGCGCCGTCTGAGAAGGTCTCCGTGCCTTCGGGGGAGGCTTCGGAGACTTCTCGAAGGCTGGGGGACCTCAGAGCCTTCCGAGAAGGCCCGCCCCTTCTGACTTCTCCTCCTCGCTTGCCGCCGAGAGAAGCACGCTGTCCCTGTGAAGCGATGCCCTGGCGAGGGCCCCTCCTGCACGCCAGCACCCTGCCAGGGCGTCTTCGTTGCACGCTATCCCCACGGTGGGGGACAGCGTGTGTTAAGCGGGCCAACGTCGCAGCGCCGCACGCCAACTTTTCAACGCGCCAACCGTAGTAGTGGAACCACCGAAGGATCTCACAGGGGGACGGGGAACCCTAGTAGAAGAAGGGTAACCGCCATAAACAGAAACTTTTAGCGCTCCGCGCGGGTTTCCTGTATCTGCACCGGGGCCCCCTCCCTGGCGCGCGGAGCGCGCCAGGGGCGGCGGCGCCGGAGGCGCCGCCCCAGGGGGGCCGGGGGGAGACCAAGCGCGGATCTGAGAAATCTGCGCGGAGCGCCAATAGTTTATGTTCATGGCATTTTATCACTCTTCGACCTAAGCCGCACGGTCTGGCAGCCGTTTCGCCGGAGACTTCCGCACAATTCATGCAATAAGTCGCGCTCTCGCCTCAACTTCCCCCTACATGTGTGGTCCGGACGGCCACGACCCATGGCAAAAAATACACCACGTTGCACATGGCCGTGCGTTTCCGAGGGATCCCCAGGAATACCTGCAGTCGGCCCGTATCATGAGGATGCGCGAGAAGGATGCAAGGGCCTCGGACGCCCAATTCGAAGCTTTTCGAGCGGGGCGCGGCCGACGAAAATGGAAAAGGATGAACCGAGGAGGCAAGGATGCAAGGGTACCCTTGGGAAGGTTGCCCATCCTTGCCATTCGGGTTGACTTGGGAATTAGGTCGGGCATGTCCTCCTACAGGCGGATTGTGGACAAAGGATAAAAAAAACACCCAAAACGTGCTGAAACCACATCAAAAGTAGTCCCAAAGATCGCCCCCAGACTTATTTTCATATATATATATATATATACACAAGACTGCAGTGGCGCTTCGCGCTATGCACCTTGGTCCTTGAAGTTTGGTATGTAGGCGGAATAGCAGGAAGGTCCAACCGACAATTTAGCGATAACTCCTTCTTACCTTTTCTGGCATCGCCGCTATAATAATGTTATTCGTTGTCCTTCCTCCATGCTTCTTTTTTCTCAGTTTCCCCATACCCTGCGCATTCTCCCCATCCTCCTCAGCTCTTTTTCGCGGAGGCTCCTCCTTGGAGAGCCTCTGGTCTGGGGACCTCACACAAATTGTTTCAGGCTTTCTTTAGGCCTTCTGGAGGCCTCCTGGGCGTATTTTGGGGGCCTCTGGGGGCTTCCTCGGGCCACCCTGCCTCCAACCGCGGTCTCCCTGAACGACCGGGTCACGATTTGGAATGCTTCGGAGGGTGTCTTGGGGCCATCTTGGGCCGCCATGGGGCTCTCTGAGGGCCATCTTGGACCCGTGTTGTGCCGTTTTGGGGCTCTCTTGGACTGCCTGGAAGCCCTTTCGGATGGTTGTGGGGCGATTTTGGAGCCTCCCAGGCGGCTTCGGACGCCCAGAAGACCGCCGTCTTGGAGCGTCGGGAAGCCGAAAAGAGGAGAACCCCAAAATTCACCGAAACCAACAGAAAATCAATGAACATTGCCTCTTGGGGCCTTCTTGGGAGTGCTCTTGGAGGCCTCTTTGGGGCCGTCCTGGAGGCCTCTTGGGGGTCACGTCGGTCACTCTTGGAGCGCTCTTGTGTTGTCCTGGGGGGTCTCTGGGACGTCTCCGATGACCCGCCTGATCGCCCTAGGTGTGCTGGGAAGGCTTGGCAAAACGCCCTGCGAGGCCCGGGGGGCCGCTTCGAGGCCCGTCCGGAGGGTCCCTAAGCTCCAGATCCCGGGAGTCCGTGTTTTTTTCTTTTTGTTTTGGGGTGGTCCCCCCGCCCGGGCTTATACAAATATAGGAAGAGGAATATGTATGTATGTATGTATGTATGCATGTATGTATGTATGCATGCATGCATGCATGCATGCATGCATGCATGCATGCATGCATGTAGGTAGGTAGATAGATAGGTAGGTAGGTAGGTAGGTATGTATGTTTATGTATGTTTTAAACAAAAAACTATTATTGAAAATTCATCCTGTAGAGTGCACGTTCTCACGAGCCCACCTTCCTGCTCCTCGACCCACCCGACCCTCCCCCCCTTGCTGCTACCCGGGGATGCTGGGCTGGGGTGCTCGAACGATCCTGGGGCTGGGAGGCGGCCTCCCGAGCCTGACGCCACAGACAGGCGCCGGCCACCGCAACGTTTGTTGATGGGGCGACTTCCCACCACCACCACCATAGGTAGGAGAGGGAGGAGGAGAAGGAGGAGGAGAAGGACCTGTGTAAACCCAAGAGGCATCAACGATGTTGCAATACACCCTCCCTCCAAGCGCCCTCTCCATAGGCCTCTACAACGGTTCATTTTTATGAGGGAACTGTCTCGTTGGAAGACACATGCCTGTGAAGACCCTGAAGCATGCCAAGACAATATTCTCGGGATTCCAGCGCCACGGATCAACCTGACTGTTGCGTCTCGGCGATCCTGAATCGCGCCAGAACGCCATTCCTGGGACTTGAACACTGCGAATCAACATAACTTGTGCACCTCATAAGCCTGAGTCCTTCCAAAACACAGCGTCTGGTACGCTGATCACGGGCATCCGTCAAATCCATGCAACATTTGAAAATTAATGTGCGCGGCGCTAAGGCGAGAACCACATTTTGAAAAGGAACGGCCCTCAATCCGCGAAACTCTTGCAAATGTTTAAGACGAGTGCGCGCGGCGCAAAGGCGAGAACCACATTTTGAAAAGGAGCCGCCTTCAATCCGTGAAACTCTTGCGAATGTTGAATAAAAAAAGAATGTGCGCGGCGCTGGGGCGAGAACCACATGTTGAAAACGACTCGCAATCAATCCGTGAAACCCTTGCAATGTTTTAAACGGATGCGCGCGGCGCTAAGGCGAGAGCCACGTTTTGAAAACGGCCCGCCCTCCATCTGTGAAACTGTGGCGGATTTTCAAGCTTCAAAAATCATAAATGGTGAGGAAGTCTCCAGTGAAACGCCCGGCCCGCCCTAAAAACTGGCTTCGAGGTGAGACAGGAACAAATTATCTGTAAGGAGAAGGAACGGAGGACCTCGCCATCCTCCCTTCTCCCCCATGCTAACTATGGTACTTAGCTGCCCCGATACGCAACACGCAAAACACGCAGCGTGTCGCTACGGAGCTCGACGCGCAAACTGCACACGCACGCTCTGAACACGGACGTCTTGAACGCGGCACGTGCTGCGTTTCAAGACGTGCGCAGCCAGAGCAGCTACGCTGTGGTAGTGGTGGTGGAAAATGAAGGGGCCCTGGGACACACAAATAAGTAGACACAACTAACATAATTCCCCATATTTCCAAATATTTTCAGGGTTTTTGCCTTCCCCCCCACTTCCCATATTTTCCCATACTGCCTGGGGAATCGACGATTAATTTTGTCTGTGTGATTTTTTCCCCTCCTGAGGAAAGTTGGCCCGTCGTCAGTTGCGCTGCCCGGCTCGGCGGGGAAGGCGTCCGCCGCCCCGCGCCGGCATTCTCTCCCTCGAGCCTCCGCGGCCAGCGCCTCCGCGGCCGGCGCCTCCGCGGCCGGCGCCTCCGCGGCCCGCGCTGGGCGCCGCCATCCGCCCTCCGCCACGCGCGCGGAGGACGGCGCCCCCACCCTCGACGGCCGTCCGTCGCCGACCCGGCAGCCCAGAAGGTGCACGCCCCGCGCGCGGATGGGGCGTGCGCAGGAGAGGAGGGGGAGGGGAGAGGCACTCCGCCACGGTGCCCCCTTGGCACGCAGGGGCGTGCCAAGAGTGCCGCAGTGCCGTCTGGCAGGGTGCCTGCAGTCTTCCAGGACCACCCCCCCCTTTCCACCAGTGCTGGCCCGCGTGCATCGCCCCCTCTCCCGATGCCACGATCCTTCCTGAAATGCGACCAGCGCGCGCCCCCGAGGCCAGAATCCATGGTAAGCACGGCAGGTTCGCAGCGGCCCAAGAGGGCCTCCAGGGGCCTTCAAGCCTGCCTCACAGGAAATCGTATGAGCCAAAATAATGCCCAAACGATCTCCTCAAGGGCTCCACAACTAGTGAACACGAAAGGTGTCACGTGTCACGGCCTTCATCTTGGTACTCTCCCTCCTGCTCCTCCTACCCTTCCTCCTTCGCATCATCCTCATCATCCTCATCCACTTCCTCATCTTCCTCATACTCATCATCAATATCACCATCACCATCATCAACACCACAAACCACCTCAGACCACACCATCATCAGCAGCAGCTCATCAGCATCATCATCAACACCATCATTTTCATCAGCATCACCATCATCACCATCATCAGCATGCTTATTATCGTTTGTATCATCATCATAATCATCATCACCATCACCATCACCACCGCCATCATCATCACCTCAGACCACATCACTCATCATCAGCATCATCATCATCAGCATCATCACATCCCCACCACCATCATCATGATAACCACCACCACCATCATAATCAACAACATCAACACCAACATCAACATCAACATCCTCATCATCATCACCATCATCATCATCACCATCATCACCATCACCAACACCATCATCATCGTCATCATCATCATCGTCATCATCATCGTCATCATCATCGTTATCATCATCGTCATCTTCATCGTCATCATCGTCATCATCATCATCATCATCATCATCATCATCATCATCATCATCATCATCACTGTTCCCCCGAACCTAGGATCCAGCTAGGATCTAGGGGTATCACCCGTGACGGCCTCCACGGCCCCCTCGAACAGCCGACACCGCGACTGCTGGGATGGCACGGTGGCGGGACTTGCCGCAGGGAGCTGGATAGCTAGAGAAGCGCCTCCAAGAATGCCCGAGCACGGCCTGCTGAGGGAAAACCATCACTCGCTTCTGAAGCGGATGCTGACCACGAAGAGCCCTTTACAAAGGAGCCGAAGGTTTCTGACCTGGAGCGGGCAGCGAGCAGCCAGGGCAGATGGGAGGGGGAGCGAAGGGTGGAAAGCAGAGGGGAGCGAGGAAGAACGAGGAAACCTTGGCCTGACCAAGATCAACCGCAATCGAAAAGGGCTCGACCAGAGTCGAGGAGGAAGCGAGGAGGAGGAAGAGTACGCGAGATTTCGTAATAAAAAGGAGGGGGTCTGGACCCTCCAAGACAAGCCATTTCAGACCTCCCCCGTGTGAAAACCCTCCAAAACATCGTCCCCAGACCCCCCAGGCCCTCAAAGATAGCCTGGAAGAGACCCCCCCGAAATGAGACCCCCCTCCCTTTATCACGAAATCTGGAGTAGGGGGGGAGGAGCAAAGAAGGGAACGAACGAGCAAGCACCTCTGCGGACGACCTCTAGAGGAAAGGGGAAGGATGAGACGGCGCAAGAGAACGGGGGGAGGAAGAGGGGGAGTGAGGAGGAGGAGGGGGAGGAGGAGAAAGGGGACGAGGCGAAGCAGAGACGGAGGAAGGATGAGAGGGACGAGTTCTCTGTCTCCAGGCTCTCTGTCCGCGAGGGACGCCGACATCCCCGCCCGATACTGCACGGTAGAAACGCAAGAGGTGCCTGAGGCGGCCATCCAAGACCTAGGCGAACCGAAGACGACCACCACCGACGCCATTATGACAAATTGTAATCACCACCATTTGCCGCGACCGTGCACTCAATCGTCGTCGCCGTCGTCATTGCCCGCGTCCGTGCCGCGCAGCAATGAGCGGAGGGCCCTCGACTCCCGTCGACCCCCCGATCCTACATGTTGAAGATAACCTTACGGGAACAGAACTGGCCTGCCCGCGGCGTGGTTTTGGATCTTCGCATGGACTCTAGGTCGTGTCGCAGATCTGTTTCAACGGCCCACGAGCCCCAAGAAGGTCGGAGAGGGTCCCAATAAGGCCCCGCGACTGCTCAACGGAGCTAAGAGACGGCGAAATAATGCTCCAATGCCGCTAAAGATGGCTGCAGGACGGCCCTAGCACCTCCTAGTCGCCCCAAGAATACCCAAAGGGAAGGCCAAAGCCGAACACTTGATGCCAGACTCCGCACGTCAGACTCCGCCCCCTTGGCTATTGCAGAATCCCACTGCCGTGGTCTCGGACGTATCTGTAGGGCGAGACGGGCGCTTCGCCTGAGACTTCCTCACAACTTACCTTAGCGCAATGCACATCCGTTGTAACAATTTGCAGTAGCTTTCAAAACGGAGAGCGGCCCCTTTTCAAAATGAGGCTCTCGTCCTAAAGCGACACGCGCATGCGTCTTAAAAGCTTCCAACACCTACAAGGATGGAGTGGGTGGTTTTCGAAAGGTGGCCCTCGCCTAAGCGGCGCAGGCACCCGCTTAACAGACTGCGCCAACTGCAAGGATGGAGAGGGCGGCCGTGCTCAATATGTGGCTCTCGCCTGAGCGTCGCTATTGTCTCCAAACTCTGCGCCAGCTTCAAGAATGGATTTGGGGTATTGTCAAGATTGAACTCTCTCCTTAGCGCCGTGCGGATTCGTCTCTAACTGTTGCAGCAATTTTGAAGATGGAGGGGGTCGTTCTCAAAACGACGGAAATGCTAGAGACTTCCTTGAATCTGGAAGCCAGAATCTTCAACATGCAAATCAGCTGCGATGGTGGAGAGTGGCTCCGTTTCAAACTTGGGCTCTCGCTTGAGACTTCCTCGAGGTGCATCCCCATAAGTGTAGCAGATGGGGGGCGGTGTTTCTTCAAAGTGAGGATCCTGCTGGACAACACCTTGAACTGTATGGTCCTACTCCTCGAGCTCCTGATTACGCGCTAGAAGGATGAAAGGTGATTCGGCCCTGGCCTGAATGACAGGCCCATAAGGTGCTGTTCTCTCAAGGGGGTGTTTCCTGTAGTGAATAAGGCAGGCTTGTGGGGACGCCTGTAAAGTTGGCCTGGGGCAGAGGGGTGTACTGCCGCATCGTTGATGCATCTTGAATGTTGGGTTTACTCTGGTTTTCCTCCTCGTTGTTCCTCCCTCTCCTCCTCCTTTCACTTCCTTCCCCAAATGGTTCCCCAGGGGTCCCACAATAGCTAGAGGAACACACAGTCCAATATCTTGGCCAAGCTTTGGCCCAACGTTTGGCTGCATAGAATTTTCGGGAACGGCACGGGGCGAAGGTGATCAGGCGTGGTCGTCTTCGATATTCGGTGTCGGCATCATCCTCAACACCACCACCACCCTCACCACCATCATTGCAGCGAGTGGTCATGGGGGGGTGACCCAAATGGGGGGGGTGAAGGGAAGGGCCCTGAAGGCGCCCTGCAGGGCCCCTTTTGGGCCCCTGGGCCCCTGCTGGCTGCAAAAGAGGCTCAAGGGCCCCTTCAAGGCACTTGTTTCACCCCCCATGCAAGTCACCCCGCATTGCCACCCGCCCGACATCACCACCATCACTCACCACCATCATCACGATCATCGCCATCTTTATCACCGCCAATTCCGCATCGTTGTCGCCGTCATCGTCGTCAACGCCATCACTTTCCCTCTCGGCCGTCGCTCGCGGGGCCGCCCTGCGCCGGCACGCGAGCGGGCGAGTCTGGCAGCCTTCTGGACCGCCTTCTCCAGCTCCCTGATCCTGCCGCCGCCAGGGCCTCCTCCTTCATCTTTCTTCCTTTGTTTTCCTCCTCGCCCTCCTCCCCCATCACGATCATGACCACATGCACCATCGCTCTTACCGTCGTCGTCCTCCTCCTCCTCCTCCTCCGCATTCCTCCCCCACCAGAAGGCGAGGGAGGAAGAGGAGCGGAGCGCGCGGCGCAGCGAATGGGGCGCCGAAACTGGTGTCGGGGGCGGGGGTGGGTCGGAGAGGGACACGCGGAATGTTTGTGCGTGTGTTCGTGTGTTCGTGTGTGTGCGCTTGTGTGTGTGTGTGTGTGTGTGTCTGTGTCTGTGTCTGTGTCTGTGTCTGTGTCTGTGTGTGTTTGTGTACGTTGGGTTGGGGACGAGCACAGGGCGGGAACGCGAACGCAGGCCACTGCGCCCCAGAACAGCTGCGGGGATGCCCGCCTCCTCCGCCAGAGAGGGGCGAAAGCGGGTGGGGCAGGCTCGCCTTGCTGGCGCAAAAAGCGGAGCGACGGCTCGCCAACGCGGGGGGGGCGGCAAGAGACGCGGGGTGAAGCAGCGTGCGCTTTTTGCGTCCTCCTCCTCCTTTTCCTCCTCCTCCTTTCCCTCCGCGTCCTCCTCGTCCTCCTCCTCCTCCTGCTCCTCCTCCTCCTTTTCCTCCCCCTCCCCCTCCCCCTTCTCCTCCTCCTCGTCCTCCTCCTCCTCCTCCTGTCCTCCTCCTCGTCCTCCTCCTCCTCCTCCTGTCCTCCTCCTCGTCCTCCTGTTCCTCCTCCTCATCCTCCTCCTCCTTCCTCCTCCTCCTTCCTCCTCCTCCTTATTCCTCCTTCTCCTCCTCCCTCTCGTCCTCTTCCTCCTGTGATCCTGTGATCCTCTGGCGCAGCACTCCAGCTCCCGAAGGCCGCATTACCCGCTGAGGAGAGAGCAAAGAGAGGCGACGGGGGGGGACAAAAGGCGGCCCGCCTGGGAAGAGAACAAATGACCCGGCTAGGGCGGCCTCGGCCAGATTGGCCAACTCCATCCAAACGATTGCCTGGAGCAGGGGTCCCCCCCTTCTTCAAATGCGCCAGAGACTGACAAGCACGTTTGTTTCTGGGTCCCTTGTGGCATTCCACAAGGAGGTGCACAGAGCAGAGATGCCGAAACCTCCACACTGTCTGCACCACACGGTGTCGCCAACGCATACCCACAACTTGTGAGAACTGTGGGCAGCCCTGGCCAACCTGGGGACTCCGCTGCACGTTGCTAATCATAGTCCTGTCGATGGTTGGCCTTCCCATGCCGACGGGCGTCGTGCCCGCAGGGATTGGCGACCAACTGGACCGAAGACGGTTCCAGCCTCTTGGGGGCCTTCACCTTCCCTATATCAAGAAAATCCCTCTTCGGAGAGAACACAACAAATACCACTGCACGTGTCTTAACATACGAACGCGCCCAATCAGGAAGACATGCAGATACTTGACACGAGGGTTGCGGGGGTGACAACGGGCACTCAACGCGGCCAACCTGTCAGCTTCTTTGTTCCCCTTCCAGGCCCAAGCTTGGTGGCCCTACTGGAGTCTGGTGGAGGGTGAGGTGGGATTTCATTTTTACGAGCATGATGTTCGAGCGTCGGATTTCCTCACCTTTCTCGAAGATGATCTTCCACAGCTCGCTGAAGGCGAGGCGCTCTAAGGGCTGGTCGGGCCCTTGCTGTCAAACGTCGACCGCCATCTTGCAGCCCGCCACGAAAACGAGTGTTCCTGAACATGTCATCTGGAGGGCCAGCAAAAGGGCATATACTTCACCACAGCTCGACTCCTGGATCGGGTGTGGGAGGGGCCCGTAGCACGAGCCAGTGATTTCGCAAGTGTTCCTCCGCCAGGCCGACAATCGACCATGGCCCAACCCGCACGGGCGAAAGGGAACTCGGGATCGATCGCCGAGCCGTCTATGCACATGCGCCGATGGGGAAACACTGATGTAGGACGTTTTTGTCCCATTTGGTTCCTGTGAGCTGCACGGAGGGGCCATCCTGTTTCGGGCGAGCTGCTGGTCAAGCACCAGCCGATAAGAACAGGGTCAGCTCCTAGCGCGTTGGCTTAGCCAACCACCATGCCGACATCCAAGACCCATCCCCCTCCCCCCTTCGGCGCCGGCGCCGGCGGCCGCCAGCAGCGCCGACGGCGGGGACGCAGCGACGATGACCAGAGGCAGCCCAAGGGAGGGGGGTTCAAACCCCCGCCCCCCCCTGGCGCTGAGGGGGAGGGCGGGGTTCAACCCCCCCCCCTGGAGCCCGCGCCGGCGCTGGCGGAGGCCAGCATCGCCGGCGCTGGCGCCGGCGACGGCGGGGACGCAGAGACGATAACCACCACTACCACCACCACCACCAGCACTACCACCACCACCACCGCCTCAACCCACCACCACCACCACCAACCCACCACACAACCACCACTACCACCACAGCCACCACCACCACCACCACAACCACCACCACCACAATCTACCACGCCACCACCAACACCGCCACAACCACCACCACTACCAGCAGCACAACCCACCACCACCACGAAAAAACACCACACCACCACCACCACCACCACCGCCGCCACCACCATCACCACCAGCTCCACCACCACAACCTACCACCACTACCACCACAACCCACCACCACCACCACAACCCACACCACCACCACCCCAAACCACCACCACACCACCACCACACCACCACCACCACCACCACCACCACCACCACCACACCACCACCACAACCACCACCACCACCACCACCACCACACCCACAACAAACCACCACACCACCACCACCACAACCACCACCACCACCGCCACAACCACCACCGCCACCACCACCACCACAACCCCCCACCACCACCACCACCACCACCACCACCACCAGTCGTCCTCGTCGACGCTCCCCGCCGCCGCCGCCCGCCGCCGCAGGCGCGGGCGCTGGCCCAGAAAAGGAGATCGTCGTCCCCGCCGCCGCCGCCGCCAGCCGAGGAGAGGGAGAGAGGAGAAGTAGGGGAAAGGGGGGGGGGGTTCGAACCCCCCCCTCCCTTGATCCAGGGGGGGGGGGATCCGGTTCCACCCCCCCCCCCCTCCAAGCGACCACAGAACGCGCTCTTTCCGACTGTCTGTAATGCCTTGGACACATGTACCATACATCCAAGCAGGGAGCGCTCCATGAAGCCGTGGAAATGCCTCTTCAGACTTCTCAATTTAGAGATCCTGGTTTTGATCTTTCTCAACCTTGAAGTGATCACCTTTTTAGACTTGAGCCCCGTGGGGCTCATCCCGAAGTCACACCCAAGGTTCCTGGCAACATCTGGAGCTTCGAACTTCAGCTGGGTAAGCCTCCGAGCAACTCCAGTAACAAATGGCTTACACGAAGCTAGCACCTTCCCGTTAGAGTCCGAGATGACCATGCGAAATTCTTCCAAGCTGCAACACAGGTGGGCTGTCGCGTTGCGGGGCCCTTCTGGAAATTCCTCCTCTTTCTCCTTCTCCTCCTCCTCCTCCTCCTCCTCCTCCTCTTCGTCCTCTTCCTCCTCCAGACGTGGGGTGAAGCAGCTTGCGTTTTTCGCGCACCCCTGGTGACCCGCGGCTGCAGTTCAGAGAGGAGCAGGGTACGATGGCATGTGGGTGTTCGCCAGTCGCGGCGGGGGAGGAGGCGAGAGGAGAGCCGGGGGGGGGGCGGTCGGAGGCAAGGAGGGCGAGCGTCGGAGGGGGTGCGTCAGTCGTGGGGCGCCAGGTGGGTCAATACCCTGACAGGGGAGCCGGCGGGGAGATCGGACATGCATGCGTACGCATGACGCGTCGCATGGTTACTCAGCTGCCTGCTCCTCTTGTTGTTCCTGTTCCTGGGGTTCCTCGGTCTACTCCTTCCCTCGTTCCACTCCTCATCTTCTACCTTGAGTCCCGTTACACTATTACCTGTCACATGTCATACATGTGGCCTGATGTGTTGCTTGATCTCACCTCCCATTCACTACGTATCGTCAAACACCGTCTGTTCGATTGCAACTATGTGTGACATTTCATCGTAATCCTCTCGTCCTCACACCAGATCCCTCATGCCCATCCCCCCTTCTCGAACCTCCCCCGCGACATGGAATCATGAGACAGCTTGCTGCGGCTGCGACTGCGCCTTCGCGGCCACGGCTGCGGAGATCTACGAGGTCCCCGGCGGTAACTAGGTTGACGGTTTACCGCTGGCGCCCTGTTAAGAAACCGAAGCCGCGTGGTAGCTCGGGAGATCGTTCCGGCGTCAGCGTTCCCTGGTAAACGTTTCAGGGCTGTACGCCGCAATATTTCTATCGATTCACGTCCGGGAGCCAACCTTCAGACACTACATTTTTTTCAGAAAATGTGTTTTTTTTCGATTCGAACTTGAGGTCTAGGAGCTACAGAAGTTTCATGTGCTCAGAGAGCTCGAACAACATCGGAAGACAGGCTACGCTCTTCTGCTGCTGCTGCTGCTACTCATGCTGCTGCTGCTGCTGCTGCTGCTGCTGCTGCTGCTGCTGCTGCTGCTGCTGGTGCTCGTACACATACTTTTTTTGCGAAGCCCCCACGGCGCAGGTCAGTCGCCATTCGGCCTGTGGGGGAAGGGGCGGAGGTGGGGGGAGGGAGGTGGAAAACATGGAAGTGGAAGAGGGGGCAGGAGGACGAGGCGGAGGACCGATGGATGGGGGATGGGGAAGAAAGGAGGAGGAGAGGAGGAGGAGTGAGGAGGGAGGAGGAGCGGAGGCGGAGGAACAGGAGGAGAAACTTTGCGGCGCAGGTCAGTCGCCATTCGGCCTGTGGAGGGAGGAGCGGAGGTGGGGGGAGTGGGGTGGACAACATGAAGTGGGAGAGGGGGCAGGGGGTCGAGGCAGAGGACCGATGGACGGGGGATGGGGAAGGGAGGAGGGAGGAGGAGAGGAGGAGGAGGAGGAGAAGGAGGAGGAGGAGGAGGAGAGGGAGGAGGAGGAGGAGGAGGAGGAGGAGGAGGAGGAGGAGATACAAGAGGAGGAGATACAAGAGGAGGAGGAGGAGGAGGAGGAGGAGAAACAAGAGGATGAGGAGGAGGAGGAGGAGGAGGAGCGCCATGTCCGCATCATCGCCTCCGCTGCCGCCATCGATTAGTTTCGCCGGGGGGCAATCCGACAGCCTACAACGCCGCACGAGCTAACAAGATCGAGTCTATCGGACAGACGTGGGTCGAATGACCCTTCCTGTCTTGGTGGGCCAGGCGATACGGATGGCAATGACACGCTACGTATCCAAAGGTTTTCGGGTTGGGAGTGGATCAGGCCCAGCGCGAGGAGGGGTACATACATGGGGGAGCAGGGATATCAAACTTCAACACTAAACGGGCAAGCATATAGCATATGCATTAGCGAGCAGTAACAAACACAATGCTTCAAATAATCGCGCTCCCCAAGACACCCCCAAACGCAACCCCGCAGCCGCTGTACGGGTTACGCACCCGCGGCCCCGTGATCCAGCCCCCTCCCCAAGTTTTGACTCGAGCACTTCGCCGGGATGGCGGGACCTGATAGATCACCGAGACGACGGCCGACCTGCCGACCCTGGCAGCATCGGCTTCGTGAACCCCAGACCAGCGGCACAGGCGAGGGGCAATAAGGCCATGCAAGCGGGGCGGGAAGCAGAGGGCCGATCGGAGGAAGGAGGGGGTCCGAGGATGGCCTGCGGCCACAGACGCAGCGTCGAGGCGCTGGGATCACGGCCCACGCCCACGTCGCCGTTAGCTGCGGCGGGGGCGGCACGACTCCCTGCTGGAAGGGCAGGAGGCCCACCGCGATCGCCAGCGCACTGCACGTCTCGAAGTTCACGAACTGCCCGCTCCCGCGGGCTGGAATCACCAGCTCTGACCGCTCGCTCGAGGGTGATGGCCATCGCCTCGGAGCGTCACCATAAAATGCCACGGCAGGCCGCCGAACTATCTGACCATGGGGAGGTGTCTGCGGGCAGCACTACGCAGGGCCATTTCCTCGGACCTCAAGCACGAGAGAGTCGTCGTAGCCGCGCGGAGCAGGCAAACTTGGCACCACGTCGGGGCTGAGCGGACCGATGGGCCCCCCAACCTCCGGCAACTCGCGCCAACCCCTAGCGCCCCGGGAAGGAGCCAGGGGGCCAGAGAAGCTTCGGCAGCAGGGGGCGCCCGATCTTCCTGGGCCCCATCGGCGGCTCGAGCACCCGGGCCCTGCAGCTCAGGCTTGTGGTGCAGCGCTGCGAGTACAGGGGCGCAGCAGCATGGGTGCCCGCCCGCGAGCGAGCCGCTTCCCCCGCGCGCTCCCAGGGCCTGGTGAGCGGCGCCTGCCACCGGGCCGCCGGCTCCGCTCCAGGGCCCAGCAGCGCGCCAAAGTGATGGGCCTGTTTTCCACCACCACCACCACCACACGTTGGAGGGGGGAAGGAGGAGGACGAGGAGGAGGAGGAGGAGGAGGAGGAGGAGGAGGAGGACCCCCTCCCCCTCCAACTTATGGTGGTGGTGGTGGTGGTGGTGGTGGTGGTGGTGGTGGTGGTGGTGGTGGTGGTGGTGGTGGTGGTGGAACACAGGCCCATCACAAAGTACTCCGAGGAGCCCGCAGACACGGAAGCCGCACCAGTCCGCGCGCGCGCCCTCGACGGGGCGCGCCCGCTGCGCCCGGAGCTCGGGAGGAGAGGGGCCCCGACGGAGATGGCGAAGCACTCGGCAGCGTTGAGCTGCAGGCCGGCCAGCGCCTTCGCCACCCCGAAGACGCGAGCGCTGGCGCAGAGGCCGCGGCGACCCAGCCATCCAGCTCCAAGAGCATCCGCGCACCATCTCGTGCGGCCTCGGCCCTTCGAGCCAACGTGGACCTCAATGTCACGGCCGACAAAGGTGAGCTGCCACGGCGCACAGCGTGCTGCTGGCGTGGCCGCTCTGCAAGACATCGGAACGGACCGAAAAGAGCAGTGGGCGGGGAGCGAGCGGTGGCAAAGCGCTGCACCACCCCGTAGCTGACCCGCAGGGCCGCCTGGGCGCCGAGTGGGGCCTTCATCTTCTGGAGGAACAGGAAGATCCAGGCATGCTCGGCACTCAGGAAGGCCTGGCCGAAGACATAGGGCATGAGCATCAAAGAGCACCGGCGTTGCTGACGCTCCCCACAAGGCACGGTGCCATTTTGGGGTCGGCTGGCGGACCAGAAAGGACACCGATGCTGCTGCTGATACCCACAACGGTGTCATTTTGGGGTCGGATAGGGCACATATGCTCTGGGCCTTCATGGCCGCGATGCGAGAGTAAGCGTCGAGCTCGACAATGTTGGAGCAGTCACGGCCGCGCTGGACGCCCCTTTGCGTAGAGACGCATTGGATCTCGCCGCGTAGATGCGCAGTGGACCTCGGCCGCGCTCTTCATGCAGAACTTGGTGGCCCACATGACTGCTTTCGTCAAATTGCTCTACAGCGCCCCCGTTCTAGTGTCTCCTGGTCGCCGAACGCCTTCGCGAGGGCCCCCTCGAGCCGCAGGCCCTTGGCGGGGAAGACCGCAACGCTGCAGTGCCAGCAGCTGCACATGGACTGCTCAGGACTGCCCAGAGCAGGCCAGCCAAATCTCCATGATAACCATGGCTCCTGAGACACAGGGCGACCAGAGGCGACGGGCCTGGGCCATCCTCGTAGAAACGACAAACATTCAGGGCCCCGCGCCGCAGGAGCCCCCAGCGGCCCCAGCAGCTCCCACGAGCAGGGCAGCCGAGGCCACCACGACCCCAGGGCGGTGCGGAGCCCAGCCCTCTGCCAGTGCACCGCCAGGGCCAGAGTTCTCGCACCCATCCCGGAAGCAAGCCACGACTTCGGACCGAGCCCACCCGGCCCAGGCATGGCGTGGCCAGCACTCCGAAGCGCAAGAGCGATGGTGGACTCCGTCGGCGGCGGGGGTAGGAGGGGTAAGAGGAGGAGGAGAAGGAGGAGGGGGCCAGCGTCGGAATGAGGTCGATTGCTCCTTAACGCCCTGGGCGGGCCGCCGCCGCACGTTGACGGTCGCGGGCGAAGGTTGGGACGGTGCGTCGGCCGCGCGGGAGGTCTGTAGCCGCCCGAGCGGCTCGGGCACACTCAAAACTCTGCTGGTCGGAAACCGCCCCGTCAGGCCCGCGCTTCCTGACCTGATGCAAGTGCCGATGAAGGTGGCAACGCATCACCAGAAGACGAGCCGCGTCCGTGCAGTGGCCGACGAGGGCTAGCCGGGCTAGCATGTCCGAGGGAACAGGACGCCCCGAAACCCGAAACAAGAGAAGGAGGAGGAGGAGGAGGAGGAGGAGGAGGAGGAGGTGGAGGAGCAGGAGGAGGAGGAGGAGGAGGAGGGAGGAGGAGGAGGAGAGGGAAGGCTGACGCTACACTCTATGTGGAATTTGGAGGAGGAGGAGGAGGAGGAGGAGGAGGAGGCGAAGAGGAGGTGGAGGAACATAGGAGGAGGAGGAGGAGGAGGAGGAGGAGGAGGAGGAGGAGGAGGAGGAGGAGGAGCGGGCTTTGGCCCAGCGTGAGCGAGAGGCCGAGAAAGGGCAGCGCCGCTGACCCCCCGAGCAGCAGCAGCAGCGGCCTCTAGCAAAAAATCGTGCGCGGACTGGCCGAGGGCCAACCGGGACGCGCGGCCGAGCGACTGGCGGCAGTCTGCGCTTCGCCTGCGCTGCCGTTGGATTCGTTGCCGAATCGACCCTGGCACGGGTGGCGTGAGGGAATCGGATCCATGGAAAGGTGGCGACATCCGAACTCTCCCCCCACCCGCCATCGATTCTCCGGAACCGATGGGGGGGTGGGGCTGGGGTTCGGATTTCGCCGCGTGCTCGGCGAATTCCGAAGCCTACCCCCCCCGCCACCCATCGAGCTGCCAGAACCGTTGATCGGCGAGGGTGCGGCCCGGATTTCGCCGCCGACTGGAGGAAGCGGGTTCTGTCTGGGCCCCCTGGGGGCTGGCACTGGGCCACTGGGAAGCCGACCCCGGGAGCGGCAGCCCAGGTGGGGGGGGGACCAGAGGTTGGCCCTGTGCTCCACGGGAGCCCGAAGGCGGCGACCGAACCTCCAGACCCCCTCTCCTCCATAGTGGGCCAATCTTCCACCACCACTCACAGGTAGGACGGGGGAGAAGGGCGGATAGGGAGGTTCTCCTCCTCCTCCTCCTCCTCCTCCTCCTCCTTTCGTTCTCCTCCTCCTCCTCTTCATCCTCCTCCTTTTCTTCCTCCTTCCCTTCCTCCACCTCCTCCTCCTCGTCCTCCTCCTCCTCCACCTCCTCCTCCTCCCTCCTCCTCTCTGCTCCTCCCCTCCTCCTCCTCCTCCTCCTCCTCCTTCTCCTCCTCCTTCTCTTCCTCCTCCTCCTTCTCCTCCTCCTCCTCTCCTGGCTCCTCTTCCTCGTCCTCGTGCCCCTCCTCCTCCTCCTCCTCCTCCTCCTCCTCCTCCTCTCCTACCTATGGTAGTGGTGTTGGAAAATCGGCCCATCACTCCAGGAGCCGATTTCTTCGCGCTTACACTGGCTGCTGACCAAGTCACCCCAAGCCAACCTGAAGTCGCCGTTGAACCTGCCAATTTTCAAGGGGACGGTCTGGAACATCGAGGACACACTGTGGAAACAGCAAGCCCCAAAACCTTCTACTTAGAGGGGTCTGGGTCCTTCGGGTTGAATTGAGGTGGTTTGGTGAGCAATGAACTACAAGCACCCCCCAAAACTAAACTACACACCAAGTGCGAGGCCGACGCAAAGAGTGCCGGCCAGGCCTCCCTCCCCGCGCCCCCGCCGCGGGGAGCTGGGCCAGGCTCGAGAGCTGTGGCAGCCTCTGCGACTCTGATCGCGAACAGTCGAAGGCGATCCCCGTCGAGCCTCCTCCTCCTCCTCCTCCTCCTCCATTTCCTGCTCCTGCTCCTCCTCCTCCTCCTCCTCTGCAGCAGCGGCGGCAGCAGCAGCAGCAACAGCAAGATCATCATCATCATCATCATCATCATCATCATCATCATCATCATCATCATCATCATCATCATCATCATCAGCAGCAGCAGCAGCAGCATCATCATCATCAGCAGCAGCATCATCAGCAGCATCATCATCATCCTCAGCATCCGCACCACCATTATCATCATCAGCATCGTCATCATCATCATACCAATAATAATCAGCATCATCAGACTCATCCTTATCATCATCATCATCATCATCATCATCAGCAGCATCAGCATCATCATCAGCATCATCAGCACCAGACCCAGCAGCAGAATCATCATCACCATCAGCAGTCTCATCCTAATCATCATCATCACCGTCATCATCATCATCATCATTAACATCATTATCATCATCATCATCAGCAGCATCATCATCGTCATCATCATCGTCATCATCATCACCATCATCATCACCATCATCATCAGCATCGTCAGCATCATCATCAACATGATCATCATCATCATCAGCATCATCATCATCAGCACCATCAGCATAATCAGCATCAACATCATCATCATGATCATCACCATCATCATCAGCATATCAGCATCACCATCACCATGACCATCACCATCACCATCATCATCATCATCATCATCATCATCATCATCATCAACAACAACATCATCATCCCTCTCATGTTTCCCATCTTCCTCCTCCTCCAAATCCCTCTCCTCCTCCTCCTCCTCCTCCTCCTCCTCCTCCTCCTCCTACCCCTCCAACTCCAACTCCTCCTCCTCCTCCTCTTCCTCCTCCTCCTCCCCCTCCCCCCCTCCGCTTCCTCCTCCTCCTCCTCCTCCTCCTCCTCTTCCTCCTCCTCTTCCTCGTGCTCCTCCTTCTCCTCCTCCTCCTCCTCCTACCCTCTGCTCCCCTCCTTTTAAAGAGCCTCTTGCTCATCCTTCTCTCCTCCTCTCAGCTCCCTCCCCTCCTCCTCCTCCTTCTCCTCCTCCTCATCTTCCTCTCCTCCTCCCCCCCTCCTTCGTCGCCTCCTCCTCCTCCTCCTCCTCTGCCTCCTCCTCCTTCCTCCTCCTCCTCCTCATCCTCCTCCTGCTCCTCCCTCCTCCTCCTTCCTCCTCCTCCTCCTCCTCCTCCTCCTCCTCATCCTCCTCCTCCTCCTCCCCCTCCCTCCCCCTCCCCCTCCCCCTCCCCCTCACCCCCTCCCCCTCCTCCTCCTCCTCCTCCTCCTCCCCTCCTCCTCCTCTCGCTCCTCTCTTGCCATTCTCTCTCCTCCTCCTCCTCCTCCTCCTCCTCCTCCTCCTCCTCCTCCTCCCTCTCCTCCTCCTCCTCTTCCAACGCCCCTCGAGCCGCCCTCCGGGAAGAGGGCGCACCGCCCGCGCAAGCCGCTCAGTGCTACGAATGGCCGCTGTCCGCTCTCAGGCTGTCCTCCTCCTGCATCGTGTCCGCGGACTGCCGCGGCGGGGGGGGGGACGGAGGAGGCGCAGGCTCCTGGGGGTGGGGCCTCCCTCCGCGTCCCGGCCCTCCCGTCTCCTGCTCCTCCTCTTCTCGCCTCGTCGCCCTCTGTCGGTGCTCCCTTCTTTTCTCCCGCATCCCTCCTCCAGCCGCCTCCAGCTCCTGATCCCTCCTCCAGCCTGAGGCTGGAGGAGGGATCAGGACAGGCCTGGGGGGGGGAGAAGGGGGAGGCGGGGGAAGCAAACGCAGCGTGGTGGCGAAGATCTGCTGCGGCAGTGCGACTTACATCATGGTGACAAGAATTGCGATGATCTTGATCATGACGACGATGATGTTGATGATGAGGGTCCGCCACTGTGCCCCCCTGGCACGTTGATGCGTGCTAGAAGCTGCAATATTCTAAACGGCCACCCCCCCACACCCACTCTAGTTGCACTTCGCCGCATGCACCGCCCCCCCTCCTGAGGCCAGAACCCCTTGCGACATACGACAGATCCGCACTCCTTAGGCCACAACCCCTTGTAAAATACGACAGCTGCACGTTCCCGAAGTCAAGAGGCCTCCGAGACGGCCCAAGATGGCTCAAAAAACGACCCACTGCGACCCCGAGTCGGCCCAAGATGCCTTCGACACGTCTCAAGAGTTTTTCCAAGAGGGCCTCGAGAAGCAACGCTCAGTGCTTGCTTTACGGTGTTTCAATCTTTGGGGTTTCTCGCCTGCTCGAGCATCCGACGTCCAAAGACAGCCCGAGGGCTCAGTACGAGAAGCACAAGACGTCCAAAGAGGCCCCCTAAGAGGGCCCCAAGACGGCCCAAGAGGACTCCAAGACGGCCGAAGAGGCGCCCAAGACTGCCCAAGAGGACCCCAAGACGCCCCAACGCAGGGCTCAAGAGGCCCCCCAAACGACCGAACCCCTAACGGCCGCCAAGGCTGCATCACAGGAGAAGACCAAACCAACCACAAGACGGCCCAAACGAGGCCCATGAGGGCTCTTTCCGTGTGGAGACGCAAGGTGCCACATGTGACGGCACTCCTCTTCCTCTTCTTCCTCCTCCTCCTTCTCATGATTATCGTCGTCCTCATCATCATCCTCATCCTCAGGCTTTCTCCTCCTCCTCCTCCTCACCACCACCACCATGACCATCACCATCACAATCACCATCACCATCATCATCATCACCATCATCATCAGCATCATCATCATCAACAACAGCAACATCATCATCATCAACATCGTCATCATCATCATCCTCATCAACAGCATCATCATCATCATCAGCAGCAGCATCAGCCGCATCATCAGAAACATCATCAGCATCAGCAACATCAGCATAAGCATTCTCAACAGCGACATCAGCATCAGTAACAACAACATCAGCATCAGCATAAGCATCATCACCAACACAAGCATCATCATCCTCATCAATATCATGATCAGCAGCAGCATCAGCATCAGCATCATCATCATAATCAGCATCAGCATCAGCAACATCAGCATAAGCATTATCATCAGCGTCATCAGCATCACCAACAACAACAGCATCAGCATCAGCACCAACACCAGCGTCGTCATCACCACCACCACCATCATCACCCCCACCATCACGAACACCATCACGATTATCATCATCAGCATCATCAGCGCCGTCCTAATCATCATCAGCATCATCATCATCAGCAGCAGCATCATCGTCATCCTCCTCAACATCATCACCAACATCATTACCATATTCCTCATCATCAGCAGCGTCATCAGCATCAGCAAAAACAACATCAGCATGAGCATCAGCACCAACACCGGCATCGTCAGCATCAGCACCATCACCACCACCATCACCACCACCATATGTCTCCCTCTCCTCGTCATCCTCCTCCTCCTCCTCCTCACAACCACCACCACCATCATCATCACCAACAGCAGTTGCAACATCAACATCATCGCTACCGTCCTCATCATCAACAACAGCATCATCATCATACTCATCATCAGGGTCATCATAATCAGAAACAGCAACATTTGCATCAGCATCAGCACCAGCACCAGCATCGTCAGAATCACCACCATCATCACTACCACCATCACTAGCACCATCAACATCATCGTCATCAATTTCAGCATCGTCCTCATCAGGATCATCATCAGCATCATCAGCACCGTCCTCCTCATCCTCATCCGCATCAGCGTCATCAGCATCAGCAACATCCTCGAAGCATTGCTGACGTCGTTGCTATGGCCATCACCACCTCCATCGTCATCAACATCGCCATGAGCAGCATCAATATCTCCACCACCACCATCATCATCATCAGCAGCATCATCGCCATCCTCGTTTTCATCAGCATCAGCAGCAGTATCAACATCAGCAACAGCACCATCGTCATCCTCATCATCATCTCGCCATCATCATCATCAGGATCATCATCAGCATTAGCATCACCATCATACTCATCGTAAACATCCGCAGCATGATCATCAGCATAATTATCATCATCATCATCGCTGCCATCAGCATCAGCAACAACAACATCCGCATCAGCACCAACACCAGCATCGTCAGAATCACCACCATCATCATCACTACAGCCATCACTATCACCATCACTATCATCATCATCATCATCCTCATCATCCTCATCTTCAGCATCGTCTTCATTATGATCATCATCAGCATCATCAGCACCGTCCTCCTCATCCTCATCAGTATCAGCGTCATCAGCATCAGCAACAACAACATCAGCATCAGCACCAACACCAGCGTCGTCATCACCAACACCATCATCATCACCAACACCAGCTTTCTCCTCCTCCTTCTCATCCTCGTCCTCCTCCTCCTCCTCCTCACCACCACAACCATCATCATCACCAGCATCATCATCATCGTTATCGTCCTCATCCTCATCATCAACAACATCATCATAATCAGTATCATCATCAGCGTCATCAGCATCAGCAACAGCAAGATCAGCATCAGCATCAGCATCAGCATCAGCACCATCAACAGCATCAGCATCTGTATTTTCTTGATCAGCATCATCATCATCATCATCATCATCATCATCAGCGACGTCAGCATCATCAAAAGCAGCATCAGCATAAGCACCAGCACAATCGTCAGCACCAGCACCATCATCATCATCATCATCATCATCATCATCATCATCCTCATCCTCATCCTCATCCTCATCCTCATCCTCATCCTCATCCTCATCCTCCTCATCATCAGCATCGTCATGATCATCCTCATCATCCTCATCATCATCATCATCATCATCATCATCATCATCATCATCAACATCATCAGCATCATCAACATCATCACGGCTCCCCCAAGCCTGGGGGCACGAGGTGTCACGCGTGACGGCCTCCTGCGCCCCCTCGCACAGTCGCCACCAAGAATGCTGGGCTGGCACGGTGGCGGGACTTGTCGCTGGCAGCTGGATAACGAGGATGAATGTAAGACTCAAGTTGGAGATGATCGTGAAGCTGATGGCGCGCATAAGGGGGTAGGGGGAGGGGGGAAAGCTTCTCAGAAGGAGCCTGCTTCTCAGAAGGGGCACGCCCTGCATCTATAGATGAGGCCCGCGCCTTCTAAAAAAATGATGTTTCTACAAGCCTTGCCCCTCTTGGAGGCCTCTTGGTCCGTTTGGAAAGCTTCTTGGGCCGTCTGAGACCCCTGGAGGCCGTCGTCGGGGTGGCTCGGGGCCGTCTTGAGCAGCTGGAACGGGTGTCTGATCGCTCTGGGGACCCATGTCACCCCCCGACAGCGGGCCCAGCCCCGAAACGCCCCGAAAAGGGTCGGCCCGACCCCCTCGGGACTAGAAACGGGGTCGAGAATGGGGGGGAGATTTGAAAAAGTGTTCAGCCCCCGGGGTTGGGGGCCCGGTTCCCAGTTAAATATATCATAGAAGCCTGCCTCCCTCCCCCTGACCCACTCTGCGCGTGGCTGGTGCGTGATGGTGCAGACCACTGATATCGCGAGGATGTCGAGGAGCAGTGTGGGCGGGCAGCCTCGGCCCGCAGTGAGGGAGGGCGGGAGGGAGGGAGGGAGGAGGAGGAAGAGGAGGTTGGAGGGACGGGGGGGCTCTCAGGGCTCGAGGGGCCCCTGCCCCGTCCGAGGATCGAGGGTCCACGAGAACAGGAACATACCGTAGACGGATATACCCATGCTCCGACCTTGCACCGCGCCGAGCGCAACGGCCACGTCGTCTATAGACGTAACTACCCTGAAAGTGTCCATGGGCGTCACGGCACCCAGTGTGTCCATAGACGCTTGTGGCTAGGACGTGAGAACGGTATTTGGCATCCGCCCCAGATGTTGGTCTTCTAGGAAGCAGGTAGGCTTAGCCCTCCAAGAAGGGGGGGGGTCCCGCCGCCGCGCTGCCTCGGGATCGCCCTCCAGGTGGGCCACCTTCTTCCCGGCCAGGAGGCTGACGAAGTGGTCCACGATGTACAGGGAGCGGGTGCGGAAGCAGGTGCGCTCCTGGAGGTGCCCTGGTCCCCCTCCCCCAGGCAGAGAGACGAGGATCAGGGGGAGGACATTGAGTTGGGGATCGACTCCAGCATTGACTTACCCAGACTTGTGACGCTCCGCGCGGATTTCGTGGATCTGCGTTGGACCCCCCTCCCTGGCGCGCGGAGCGCGCCAGGGGCGGCGCCGGAGGCGCCGCCAGGGGGGCCAAGCGCGGATCCAAGAAATCCGCGCGGAGCGCCACAAGTTTATGTGTATGGCGTTTTTTTCTTCTCTTCCTTGATTACCCCAAGATTGATTCCCCCGTCGAACCTGCAAGAGAGAGATATATTTTTGTTCATGCGTTCGACGAAAACCCATCCTGGTGCAAATCCATTCCGTAGTCTGTCCGCCACTCGAGGATAACGAGGGGGGACGAAGGTAAAGTTCCCCTATCGTTCCTCCTGCGTATCCTCCTCCTCTGTCACCTCCTCTGATGGGCCTGTTTTCCACCACCACCACCACCATAAGTTGGAGGGGGAGGGGGTCGTCGTCCTCCTCCTCCTCCTCCTCCTCCTCCTCGTCCTCCTCCCCGTCCTCCACCTCCTTCCCCCCTCCAACTTATGGTGGTGGTGGTGGTGGAAAACAGGCCCATCATCCTCCCCGGCCTGCTCCGCCCACCGCTGCAGCCGCCCTCCGCCGACCACCCTCGTCCTCCCGTTCCGAGGGGCTCGCCCGCCCTCCTCTAAGACGAAGCCACGACGAGGACCAATTCGGGCGATGATAAGTCGAGAATCTCTGAGATCGGGCCGCTCTGGTGGATGCCTCGGGCGCCACAGCCTTTTCAGAGAGTTCCAGAACGCTCTGAGAGCGTTCCGGAACGCTCTGGAATGGATTCATCCTCGTCCCAGCCCCGTCCGATCCTCCCTTCTGTCCACACGTACTCGGGAGCGGCCAAGAGGAGGGTGTCCAAGAGGGGGGGGGTGCAAATCATGACCGGCGGCATGTGCGCGGCCCAGCGGGGGGGCCAGCGACGTAATGAAACAAGAAGAGGCGTCATAAAATCTGGGGAGATATCATGGCCCCCGCCATGATATCCACCCCCCCTGATCATCACCCCCCTCTTTGCCGCCCCCGACGCACGTATTCAACCCCCAGCCGTGTCGAGTCCACCGGAGAGAGCCGCATCCGTCTTCTCGACAGTGAGGCCAGGGGGAGGCACCACCGGACTGGCCGCAAGCTCCGCTGATGGTGTTGGTGCAGGGACTGCCTGCGAACCTGCTCTCCTCCTCCTCCTCCTCCTTCTCCTCCTCCTCCTCCTCCTCCTCCTCCTCATGCTGAGCCTCACGTCGATTGGGCGGCAGTGAGCCCACCGTTACCACTTTCAAGTTATGTGCTGTCGTTCGCTCCTCAGCACTGTTGCTAATCTGCTCGGACTCCCCTTCCCCCTCATAGTCTGTCTCATTCCTCCCTCCACCCCCCACCCTCCTCCTCCGCCTTTCCTCCTCCTCCTCCCCCTCCTCCTCCTCCTCCTCCTCCTCCTCCTCCTCCCGAATCCGCCTCGAGCCTAAATTTCTCCCCATGCTCCACTTCCTACACCATCCCGCATCCCTTCTTTTTCCCTCGTCCCTTACCCCCCCTTCCCTCCTGACATTCTCCAGCCCTCAAACTTCCATCCCTTCTCCCTCCCTCATCGCTCCTCTCTCCCTCCGACCCCACCTCCTGTTCGTCCACCTCTTCTTCACGATGCGCTCCGCGGCAGACATGCCGGTCACGTTCAGCGCCTCTTGATGAGCTTCGATCTCGGTCTTCATGGCCTCAACGATCTTGTTCCGGCGGAGCTCCACGATCTCACGCAGGAGGTACCGTATTCGAGCCTGATCCCAAAGGGGGAGAAAAAGGAACAAGGACAGTAGGAAGAGGGAACTACTGCCCGAGCCTTCTCCCGCTTGCCCGCGTCGGACGTCTTGGACTGCGACAGCAGGGCGAGGGCGATCTCGATGTAGTGGTCGTGCACCTCGGGCGCAACATGCACAATTCGTGGCGTCGCGATCTCAAACCATCCTGTCGGTCTGACCTCCTGCTCCATCCTTCTACACCACCATCCCTCTTATTCCCACTGCGTCCGCCTCCTTCACTCTCCATCTCCTCATCCCTGGGTCAGCCGGAAGCTGAAGCGAAATACATACGCTCTCGGCTGAAACTTGCTCAATTACAAATCGACCCCACGCAACACAAATCGATGTATGTGTTTCCAGCATTGGGAACTACGGGAGACGGCCCTGGCCTGATATAGTGGCTAGGAGAATGTCTTCCGCGCCAATAATCCCACCAACCCTCCAGGCGCAGGTGGTCTAACAAGATTCCTCTTCCCTCTTCCCAAAACAACCCTCTTCCCTACGTGGAGAGGTTTCTCACTGTTCCCTATTAGTATACACCCCCTTCCCCAGGCGACTGGAAACCACACCGAGTCCATGAGTGCCCCCCCCAAACACCATCCCTTTGCAATAAACAATACAAACCACACTCTGCCCCCACCATCTCGTAACAGGCAATCCAAAACATACTCTGTCTCCAAATTCGGAGTATGCGAAGCGAGCCCGATGCGGCCTCCCCCCACCATCCCTGTCAAAAACAATACAGAGTACACTTCGAGATCTGGTTCGTGCACGGGGGCTGCGGCGGCAGCGGCGTGGGCAGCGGGCTGCGCCGGCTGCGCGGACGGCGGCGGCGGCGTGGCGGCGGCGGCGCGGCGGGGCGGCGGCGGTGGCGGCGGCGGCGGTGGCGGCAACGACTGCGGCGGCAGCGGCTGCGGCGGCGGCGATTTGGCAGCGGGGGCTGCGGCGGCGGCGGCGCGGCAGCGGCGGCGGCGGGCGGCGGCGTCGGCGGCGGATTCGCCCCTAGTAGCTGCCCATCCAGAAACGACTGCTGCATATGCTGCGGCTCGGGCCAGGCTCCGGGTTACGTATGTGTTGGGAGGGCGGGTGGGAGTGAGCGAGACGGCTTGCGGGCGGGGAGGGCGTCTTGATCCCTCCCCTTACCCCCTCCCCTGGACTTTTTGGGGGGGTTCCGCGAGGTGTCAGGGCGTCCAAAACGGCCTCGGCGAGGAAGCCACATTCATTGGTTTCCCCAGGTTTTGGCCCCATGTTGGCCTCTTTGGGGGGGACTGAACGTTACAACATCTCCTCCTTTGATCGATGGCCTTCAGGATGGCCCCAAGAGGCCTTCCAGGGCTCTCAAGAAGGCCCCTTGGAGAGCACCAAAGGGGCCCCAAGAGAGCCCCAAGACCCCTAAGGCAGTCCCAGAAGCTCCAGTATCCTCCCAAAGAGCCCCAGGAGAGCTCCAGAAGGCGATTTTGAGGGCTACTGGGAAGGGGCCGAAATCGAGGACCCCGCATTTTTTGATCGATGCTCTCCTAGATGGCCCCAACGGGCTTTCCAGGGCACCAGCCGCAGCACCAACACCTCCACCGGGATCGCACTCTTTGGATCCTCCACCTCCTCCTCCTCCTCTTCCTCCTCTTCCCCTCGCCCCCGCACGGCCCCCTTTTTGCTCCCAGAGATCTCTCGGTTCATCCTGGTTGCTCGCTTTGTTTCCCTAGATGTGCCCGTTCGTCCTTTTTCCCGTCAGCTCTCGTCTGCAGGGCTTCTGACTGGGCTGGTGGTGATTTTTTCGTCGCGGCCGCAAGCGGAAGCTCCGGCGGCGTCCGAAGTCAGCCCGGGCTACGAGCCAAACCTAATTAATTACCTAAACGCGCGAACCAAGGGCCGCCGAAACTGCCGCCGAAGGACGCCGAAGAGCGACGGCGGGGACTGAAGGCAGAGCTGCAAGAGGTGCCAGGTGTGCCAGGCGGCTGAAACGCAACCATTCCAGGGGCGAGACCGCCGGGAAGGCAAACAAATTGTGCCTTGTCCCGCCAGGCGCCAGAGGTAAACGAGCCACCCGAGCAAAGCACGGCGTAGCGTGGGACTGAGCAAGCAGCCCAGCGCACCTGTGTCGCGTGTCAACAGTGGCAACCTCAGGGGGGTGAACAAGAAGGCTAACAACTACTCATGAGCAGTCCACATGGCGGTGCACCCCACCATTGCAAAGCGGCAGCTGCAAACGCGGCCAGGCTGTGGCAGTGTCTGGGGACCAGGGGCGTTGGTGGGGATCCTTTTTTGCTCGCGAGCGTCACGGTCCGACCGCGCGCCGAAAGTAACAAGGCCGCCGAGCCAAGCACTAAATTCACCGCGAGCATCAGGAACTAGCTACGCGGCAGCTCAGGGGGCGAGGAAAACGCTGAAGGACAAGTCGAACACGCCGAAACCGTGGAAGACCAGGATATACTGGTCCGCGTGCAGCGCCAAAATGGCGGAGTAAATGATGCCCAAACCCTCAACGGTCACGACCACGCCCACGAGGAAGACGACAACCACGACCGCGAAGTCAATGAAGGCGAACGTGCAGGCGTTCGACGGTATGACCGGATCGCCAGTGGAGGCTGGTGGGGACAAACGCAGCGTGCATAATTGTTGATGATTGTTCTTCTCCTCCTGTCTTCTTCACCCTGCGGTACCATGACATGCTCAGAGGCTTCCGGAGGTGTGCGCAAGCCCTCAAGAGGCACCATAACTGTCCCGAACACGTCCGAAAATCTGCATGTTCCTTCTCCTCTTCCTTCTCCTCCTCCTGCTCCTCCTCCTCCTCTTCCTCCTCCTCCTCCTCGTCCCTCTTCCTGCTCTTTCCCATCCTGACATATTGCGACTGTATGCTCCCACGCTGCCACCTGGCTGGCCGATAGCGAGCACATCCAAAACCCCCCCCGGTTTCCACATGCAAAACAATACAAACTCGGAATTGTTCGTACCCGCATGGTCCTTTTTACCGCCGACGTTGCAGAATACGTGACAGGAGTAAGACGCGGCAAACTCCGCGCGCGAAAAGGCGAAGTGTCACTCTCGTCTCAGCGCCACGCAGATGTCTTCGAACAGTGGCGTTCCGCTCGAGCGCGCTCGCCAATTCCTCGGCGACGGGGTCGCGCGTGAGCGGGCAAAATATAGCTGGAGCCAATGCGCAGCGCAGATGTGGCTTGACTATGGCGTTCCCTCTTTGGGGAACGGCGCGCTGATGGCTCGCCGAGTCGTCGAAAGGCGGCAGCGGGGCCGTGCGGAAAAAGGCGATATGTTGCTCTCGCCAACCCGCCGAGTAAATTCCGCCTCGAAGTTGCACTGGTTCTTGGAAGGAGCGCCTTGGACTTTCTTTGAGAGGGCGCCACAAGGACGAGGCGCACTGGATGTGGACGAAAATCAAGCCTCGAGGGGGCAGATTCGTATCCACATCCAGTGCGCCAGGGGCTCCTGGGGAAGGGATCCCAAACCTCCAAGCTGCAGTGGATATGGACAGGAGTACTGCCCGCACACGCCTTGCCTTCGCCGATCGCACACCTGACCGCGCGAGAGGGCAAAAGGATGCTCCTCGCCAAGCACAGCGCGACCCTCCCAAAAAAGCTCCGCTCCGCGAGCCGTGAACGTCCCCGTCGCGAAGGTCCTCGGAGGCGGGGCCACGTGCGAGCGCCTTCCCCTCGATGGGTGGCAACGCGCGCGCGACTTCCAGTGGCAGAGGGTGCTAGAGCAGCATAAGCATAAACTTTCGACGGCCCGCGCGGATTCCTTGGATCTGCGCTGGCCACCCCTCCCTGGCGCGCGGGGCGCACCAAGGGCGGCGCCGGAGGCGCCGCCAAGGGGGCCAAAGGCAGATCCAAGACATCCAGTCGGACCGTGGAAATGTATGTGAATGCCAGCTTCCTCTTCGACATTTCCAGTTGCGCCAGCACTGACTCTTGTATCATGGGAGGGGCGGTGGGAAAGGGCGGGGCCTGCTGGCTCGTCCGACCTGGCTGACCCGCTGCGCATCCCCCTCCTGCTCCAACAAGGGGACCTAACAGCGGCATGAACACGATTTCTCGGAGGTTCACGCGGACTTCTTGCATCGGCGCCAGGCCCCCCCGCCCTGGCGCGCTGAGAGCGCCAAGGGCTGCGCCCCTGGCACAGCCAGGGGGGGCCCTCGGGACCTCGGAGGAATGTTCATGCCGTTCCTTGTTCTTCGGTCCTACTTCATCCGCTCCCCCTTCCGCAACCGATGTCGCTCGCTTCGGCGTGAGGCCGCGGTGCCTGCTCGGCTCGCTGCCTGGACGAGCTCCAGCCCCGAGAGAGACCGGGAGAAGGAGGGAGAGGAGGGAGAGGAGGAGAGCAGGAGGAGGAGTAGGAGGAGTAGGAGGAGTAGGAGGAGGAGGAGGAGGAGGAGGAGGAGGAGGAGGAGGAGCAAGAAGACGAGGAGGAGGAGGAGGAGGAGGAGCAGGAGGGCGGCAGGAGGAGGGAGCCGCCGCCAGCGGACCAGCTCGCCGATCCTGGCCCCTGGGCCGATCCGGGCCCCCGAGGTCGGTGCCTGCGCCCTCCCGGCCCGGCCAGGGGGCATGGTGCACAGATCCGGGGGCCGGGGGTCGGCCCCGCCAGGGTCGCCCCCCCAAAGGAGAACGGGGTCTGCTCGTGCACCTCCCCACGGAGGCAGCCACCTCCGCATGGTGTCGGCTCGCGCGCGTGCCGCTCGCATCAAGAGCCACTGTCGTGAGCGCGCCTTGTCCCTCCAGGGCAGCGGGGACTGCCCGGCTGTTGCTTGCACGGAAGCAAGCACCCCAGCATGGTGGTGGCTCGCGCGAGTGCCGCTCGCGTCACACACACACACAGACACACAGACACACACACACACAGACACACACAGACACACACACACACACACATGATGGGCCTGTTTTCCACCACCACCACCACCACCATAAGTTGGAGGGGGAGAGGGTCCTCCTCTTCTCCTCCTCCTCCTCCACCACCAACTCCTCCTTCTCCTCCTCCTCCTCCTCCTCCTCCTCCTCCTCCTCCTCCTCTTCGTCCTCCTCCTCCTCGTCCTCCACCTCCTTTCCCCTTCCAACTTATGGTAGTGGTGGTGGGAAACAAGCCCATCAACACACCCCTACCAATAAAGAGGGTCGTTGGGAGGAGGGCTGGCTACCGACATGTGTGCGGGTGGCCGGACCCTACGGGGCGCTCCCGTTCCGCGTCAGGAGCCAAATCCAAGGCCGCGCCAACGGCGCGCTTGATTAACGGTGCGGTTGGGAGTCTCGTATTTGTGACACCGAGCTCACACAGAACCAAGTGTAGGAGATCCCGAAACACCGTTTCCTACATGCCAGAAATGGGGGTGTATCGAACGAACGCGGCACAACGAGTTGTAGGAAAACACGAACCACGCGTTTCTACAGTTGGTTTAGCCACGAACCACGCCTTCCTACAGTTGGACCTGACTTCGCCGTTAGCTAACACACCGTTGGCGAGTCTACGGCACATGACACGACATCGCGGTGCAGAGCCGCAGCCCTGGACCCCGAGAGGGGTGAAAGCCGCTGGTGCTGCACGAAGGGGGCGTGCTCTTCTCTTCGTCCGTGATGGGCCTTGCCCGAGGCCTCCGGAAACCCTCTCGCGGGGACCGCCGAGGCCTCCGTGTGGACCTCTGGGGTCTCTGCAGAGGGCAGAAAGTCCATCCCCCATAAAATAATCCCCCCGACGAGCGAAGCCTTTTTAGTATAACGCGCCCAGGGAAGGAATCGAACAGGGCGGGGCTGTTTAGCAAACGCCCAGGGCCGTTTGGTAAACGTCAATCGTCGGGCCCGGGTGGTGTTTTCCTCCCTTGACTCTACAGATGCATCCTCGGAGGGAGGCCGGATGGCAGGGGATCTCGTGCAGAGAGCTCTACAGGACACGATTGCAAAGGTGTGGCCGATCACGGCTCGAGTCTCAAAGCAGAGGATGTAGGCGTGCTCGAGGGGAGCAAACTTACTCCTCTTGATGTCAGGGAACAGTTTCTCCCCCTATCCTCGGCTGTGCGTAGAGACGAGTTCGGCATGGTGATTACAACACATCACATTCGTCGGCCCGCCTTCTCGAGAACATTGGACTGCTTCTCCGCGTCGCGCAGGCGCTTCATCTCCTGATGAGATCAGCACGCATTCACACCCACTGCATCGCACCTCACCAGCCACACTTCGCTTGGTAATTACCCTGAAGCTCGAGAGGACCGTCTGGGGCCGTCTGGGTCCGATTTTTGAGGGCTCTTGGGCCACCTCGGGCGCGACGGGACAAACTACAAGGCGCCAATGCGAAAGTGCCCTAAACACATCAAGGGGAAAAATGTCTCTCGGGGGCCTCTTGGGAGCACTCTTAAAGCGCCCTTGAGTCGCCTGGGGGGCCTCTGGGGCAGCCGTGGTGCCTTGGTGGGCTATGATTACGGCCACTCGGGCCACCTGGGGCCCCTCGGGGCCGCCTTGGGGGATCTCCGGGCCCTCGTGGGGCCCTCTCGGCGCGCTCTAGGGTCGTCCCTGTGCGCTCTGGGGTGGCTGTGGGTCCCTCCTGGGCAGTCTCAGGCCCAACCAGGGGCCCTCGCGGCGCCATTTTGAACCGTCTGGGTCCAATCTTGAGGGCCTTTTAGACCGTCTTGGGCGCGCTGAACACAAACCACCGACAAGAACCACCCATGATTCCGTCTTCTCAGGGGCCTGTTGCGAGCTATCCTGGACCGCTCTTGGGCCGTCCCGTGAGACTCCAGGACAGTTTTAGAGGCTGCATTTGCAGTAAGATCTCGACCACACGAAACCTTCCACGAGAAACCCAACCCTGAGACCCCAGGACGTCCACTGATCTTTGCCGCGGGAACGTCACGCTCTCCACAGCAAAACCCATCCAGACCCAAGAAACTAAGGGCACCCTGGAGGCGAGCAGGGTGTTTCTTGGCATGGGTTGCCACTGCACGTCCACGGGAGTCGCCATCTGGGCAGCTTGGGCCGTCTTGGGACGACCTTGGGCCGCCGTGCCCGCGATCTTGTGGTCGGGCTCCCCGTCCGGGGGGCTGGGCCCCCCCTGCCCCCGTGCTGTGGTAGAGGTCGCGGCGCGGGGCAAAGTGAGAGTGCCCAAACAAGGCCCCTGGCACGCGTCACCACGCCCCTCCCCCACAGACAGGCACCGCAAAAGGGCAACGCCATGAATAGCAAGAGAAGCGTCCAACGAGAGCCCCGTTCAGAACCGCCCTCCGTCCTTGTTGTCGCCAACTTCTTGAGCGAATGTGCGCAATGCGAAGGCGAGATCGCCACGGACATTCCACCAAACCGTGCTTGCACATGGGGTTTGCGACTTCTCTTCCTCGAGAAGAGGACGGGTCAGCCAAGGTTCCGTCTGGTGCCCGCCCGTGGGACCGCGCGGATGCCTCGTGAGTTAGGTGGGGGAGCCAAGGTCTCGTCTGGATTGAACCACATAGATTACAACTCATCGACTTGTACCACACGTCTGCTAGCACATAGCTTGCACCACGTAGTTTGATGCACCACGTCGTTGGTGAAGGCTATGCGGTCATCGCATAGCTAGGCGGTGCACAACACAGCTTGCAGCACATCTGTTACACCACGTAGCTTACACCACATAGCCTGCACCATGCACGACAGAGTTTCCTACACATAGCTTGCGCCACACAAGTTTGACCACATGCACATAATATACAACATCGCTTCAGCCGTGGAATTTGCAATACAAAACTTACGCCAAGCATATTGCACCGCGTGTAGCTCAAGCCGA